ACTAGCAGTGAAGCTCATCTACTCCTAATTATGGGAACAAACCCATTGGTTTTACTGAAGAGTATCTTTATATCTACACATTTGGTTTTGCCAAAAAGCAGCATTGGTTGTTGTGTAGTCTTCATTGGCAGCAAAACTGGGCGACCATCCTGCAGGGAGGCATAGCTCCAAAGCCCAAAACGTCCCTCACTACTTACCACAGATGGACCTTTAGGAGCACAAGGGGCTGAATCCATCCTACAAGCCAGGCAGATAGCAGGAGTTTCTGCAGGCATTGTCAGCAGGCTGATATATGTCTTTTGCTGGAGACGTTTTTCCAGTGTCTCACAAAGCTCTGCCACTTCTCCTGCACTCCTAAAGCAAATTCTTCAACATAATCTCTCTCCGAATCTCCTGCTTTGCTCAGATCTAATTGTAGTGGTGCAGTTGCTGAGAGTGTGCCATGCAAAACCAATGTGGAATACGCTCCAAAAGTAGAGAGCAAAGAGAACCTTGCTGCACTTCAGCCTTGCACAGGTTTTGGCCTGAACCTGATCATGGTGCAACGAAAAGCAGCCCCACATTTCGCTGTAATTCAATTACAGCCTGACAGCTGCCTCCAGGATGACGTGGAGATCAAATCAGTGCAGGTCCTCACCAGGTGCTTGGATCCTGATTGCCTCCTCACCTCGCACGTGCTCTGCACCTAACGTGCCACCCTCAAAATGGTTCTTTTTCCTCTTTTCAAATACAGAAAACACTCACATCTGCTATATTTGGATACTGGACAGCAGAAAAAAGAACTACCCATAAAAACAGCCTTCATGAACCTGCTGGATGGCAAACCATTGCCAACAGACTGAATAGTTTTTTTCTTGCAGAGATGTTTTTGATGTTTTCTCTTATGAAAGCAACGGAGCAGAATGTCAGCAGGAGCTGCACACATCTATTTTCATCAGCTCTGTTACGTCCAAGGAACAGAACTTCTCTTCCAGTAGCAATGCAAGAGCCACCACTCCAAACTCTGTGTGTAATGCTCAGAGCTGGCAGGCAACAAAATGACTTCTGTGTTGCTTTTCCTGCTCTTAGGACCTGTCAATTTGACAAATGTAGTTCAGATGTTCCTGCAAGGTGATAAACATGGAACCTCCCTACCTCAGCATCCAGAAGTTTCAAGGACAAATATATTTAACACAGAAATGGTGAAACAGAAACATGGACATCTTAGTGAATAAGGCCAGAAAAAGCCAGAGCCAGGAGGGAGAACGGATGCTCTGAGGACTCCCTTATGAGCAAAGAGGGGAGGGGGGGTGCAAGATACAATCAAGAATTTGGCTTCTCAGGACCAATGGATTTGAAAAAGAAAAAAAAATTGAAAAAGAAAAAAAAAAACTGCAGGCCAAACTAAAAATGGTTATCGTGGTAAAGTTATGGGTTGCTTCATGCTGCCAAAACAAATAGCTTGAATCCCAGAGCAGTAAAGGTTACATGCATGGAAAACGGAGCTATCCCCAAGGACTAACTAACATACTGCAATTATTATTATAATTCTTGAGAGAGCTTTGAGAAAATCAGGGCATGCTGAACTACCTTGTCTGCTGCATCCACGGAAGTCTGCAGAGGAGATGTTCCAGCTGAGAAATGTTGTCAGATTCCTGGCTTGGCTGACATCTGCCATTGCCATCTCAGAAGTGAAAGCAGCATTTCTTCAGCAATTAATAAGAGCTGTTTGAGGTTACTGATGTACTAAAAAATGCCATGAATTTCAATAAGTTTGAAGCTATTTCCTACTACAGCTCGTACCACTTCTGCAGGAGATATTCCCAAGTAAAATGCAATCATGTCTGGAATTTCAGCTAAGTAAGGGTACGACAGAAAGAAAAAATCCACACTTCTCAGAATCTGTTTATCTCAGTTTTGGTAAGCCTGCCAAGGTATTCCAAAAGGCACAGTCTCCAGCCTTATGCTTATATCTAATGCAGCCTTTCTGCAGGGCCTACTGCAGGATTAGTTATATCACTGTTTATTGACTGTAGATCTACATCAGTTATGTAAGAATATTTCTTCTTTTTTGGAGTAAGAGACAGTATCCACACCTCCATGTTCTCTTTTCCTTTCATAAGTATGGAGTTCAAGGATAGGATAAGGCACCAGGATCTCCCAGGCTCCCTTCCCAGCTGTGTGAGCTCTTTAAGGACAGCTTCTTTTCTGCAGAAATCAATGAAACCATAGTGAACTTTCCTGGGAACACGATAAAATCCGTTATCTCTCTCTGCCTTCTTACCCTATCCTGCAAGACATCAAGCACACTAGCTCAGCTAGTCCAGCAAAGCCTTTAAGCACTCACATGGGAAGTGCAGGATGACTGTGGCCAAAGCCAGGGCTTGCGGTGAGCGCCTGCCTGAGTGTGCTGCTGCTCCCAGAGCCAGCAACGAGCGGGGGACACCGCATTCATCTACCTCCAAAGGATGTTTCAAACATGAAGTAACGAGATTCTTGGAGAGCGGTCACAGGATGCAACAAAGTGAGAGCATCGTTCGTATCCCTATGCTTAATACCTATTAATGGAAATGGATGATAGACTATCTATATCTGTGCATACCCCACATCTCTCCCATCCCATCAGGGCAGAGCGTTATCTGCTAAAGAAGCAGCGCTTTCAGGTTTGAGGAGGGGGAATGAGAAAAAGGACAAGCTGTTTATAACACATTAAACAGATACAGAATTAGACGTTTATATTCTAATCCTCCCCAGAGAAGCCAGAACCTACCTACAGGGTGTGTTGACTTAGTTTCTCATTCCTTCTTCTTTTTTTATTTTTTTAAGCTTCTTTTGAAATCATTGAGTGTGCAGCATGCCTTGCCTCGGGGCAACATAGTGCTGAGCTGTTTCTGGCACCGTAAAAGGGTGCCACCTCCTCCTCCCTTTGCTCCAGGGCCCATTTTGAGGTGAAGAAAGGGCTGATGGGCCAAACCAACAGAGCCTGGGGCACCCAGCCCTGGGGCAGGCACGCGGCTGGATGGTTTGGGGTGTTCTGCCTTTGTGCTCTGGGAAGCTCATTCCTGCTGGGAATTCAGCCTAGATGAGGTGTGCCTGGGACCATGAGGAGCTTCAGGGACACAGCCTGGATGTCTGGTATAGCATACGACACTGCTCTAGTCTGGCAACTGGGATTGGGTCAAGAAAGGAGCTAGTTTTGTGTGGCTTTCGGTCTGTTTTAGTGGACTCTGTCCTCTTCTGTGCCATGTGCCAGAGGCTGGCCCACATCTGAAACAAAAACAGGGTTGCATGTCCAAGTTTGATCCAACTCAGGTGCTTTCCAGTGCTGCCTTAGTGCAGCAGCTGGCTGAGGCACCTCATAGGTGTCAAGGGAGAAATTCCTTACAATTTATAAATTTCATTGAGTTCATACATCTCCTGCATGAGCCCACAGTATTCCAGCTCCCTAACGTGCTGCTATGTGAACGAGGAGAAAATCGTCAATGTAGTCAGCAATCTACCATGAAATTCACTGATTAAATTACTGGATAAATATTTGAGTGGATCTAGCTGACAGGTATGTCATGCATTCAGTCTTAAAATAGGAAGGTAATGGGAAATGAGGGAGAAATGAGCCAAGGAACAGGAACTGGAATGTGATTTCTGGTAATACAGCTCATGTTCATCAGTACATTTTTAGCAAATAGAGGACGTGTGTGGTGAAACTGAGAGCAAGGCACCATCGTTAAAATAAACTGAAAGTGCAGCAATGGAGAAGCTGAGCATTAAACAGTTCTCCGGGAATAAAGCTGGTGAATTAATTTATGAGGTTTTACATTGGCTGAACGTGGCAGGTAGTTCTTACCAGGCTCACAAGAAGCAGACATCGCTATTTCCAGTAAAATCCAGAGAAGCTGAGGTGGGTGTGGGCTTACTGGAGAGGCATGAGGCTGACACCGGCCCTGACAGTGTTGGACTTGAGGCTCTACGTTGGCTCTGACCCCTGCCATCTCTATGGTTGCTCCATCTGCAGCCCGATGATCCGCTGCTCAATTCAAAAGATGAAAGGAGCAGGTCATCCTGCTGTACAAGCACACCGGGTCAGAGTTGTCAAAACATGCACACGCGTGACTCTGACTAACATCAACAAGGGTAGCATTAGGCATCACCACGTCCATCAGACCATGCTGTGAAGGGCTCTAAGTACCGGCTGACCATATTTGTGTCATTCCAAGTCAACAGTCTGGAACGTAATTGCTTTAAAACACATCTAATTCATTTTTGACTGATTCTGCAAATGTTTCCCCTTCCCTCAATGCCCCATTGATTGGCCGTGCAAACCATTTGGCGCTGGCCTGCGTGGCGTGTGCAGTCGCTTTGCTCCTTGATGTTACCTCATCAAAGAGCACTTGAAAATGATATTTCCAGCCAGACGGTTTTCAAAAGTGGCCGGTGAACTTGCTCTGCCCTGTGCCCTCCGGCTCGCCGTTGGATAGGTTTCCTGTATGTCACTCCAGCTTCAGAAAGGTGATAAATTTCAGATTGCAAGATGCTGACCAAAAAGAAAATAAGATCGTGAAGGGCTATTTTTGGTTTCAAAAGAAACTTCACTTGCTAGGTCTTTCCAAGCCATCACCCTAATGTACAGCTGCAGCAGACAAGGAAAACAGGATGCAGGGTTGCAGTGCTGGAGGAATCAAGCATAAATCAAAGGAGACAAGCTAGTCCCTGTGTGTTGCCTGGGTTAGACCTCAACCTCTCAGCAAGATGAGCAGTCGTTGCTTGCTGGGGACTCTCCCAGTAACAGCATTGCCCAGCTGCTGGAGAGTTTATACTGGGCTATACCATGTCTCACTTTTTTCTCCCACTGTGTCACCTCCTTCCCTTGTGCTGACAAGTGATTTAGACAGCCTGCCCTGCTGGACCTGCGTTTGAAATGTAAATCAAACACATGGGACATAAAGCTGGGTTTCACAGTTGACTATTAACTAGGGCGGAAGGGGTGGCTTAGCAAAAACAAACAGTTCCAAGTTCAAGCCTGAAACCATAAGAGTACACTGAAAAGCCTTCCTCCTTTCCATCGCAGCCAACATGAGGGTGAGCACTTTTCCTTTTTATCAAGTAGGAATGTGCCTCTATGATTACAGAATTTAGCCTAATATTACCTTACCTGCCACCCCAAATAATTTGCAGCAGTCCCAGTGATGTGGGCAGGAGATGGTTCCAGTCTTGAAACATCTTGCCCCAATCAGTGGGCCATGGCTCCTGGTGGGACTCCAGGACATCTCCAAGTGCCAACCAGGGCAACTTCGGACACATCGTTCTTCTTCCAGCACCTCAGCTTTCCTGTTTGTGGGGTGACTGAGGAAGAAATGCTGTGGTACTGCCAAGAAACATTTCCTTATAGATACAGTTCTGTATATCTGCCCTCAACGCCAGCAACTGAGGAAGGGTTCTGCTGGCATGACCTCTAGGGGCTCAGCTCCATCCCAATGCTCTCTGAAGGCAGAAGGCGCCAAGTGCAATTTCACACAATCCAGTAACCAACATATCTGTTAATAACATTCCTTTATCTATAGCTTGGACTTCTTTCAAACCTGCTTAATTATCTCCTCCAATATGGAAAAGCATTGTCCAAAACCATAGAGGATAATAATCATGCAGTAGTTCTTCTGTAAATAATGTTTCATTCTAGCAAAGCAAACTGCTCCTCATCAGACTGGATCTCAGAGCAAGTTGAAGCCAATTTGCTGGAGCAGCAGTGAGGATGTCATTGCACAATCTTCATTTCCATTAAACAACTGGATCTAACTGTCCTTATTTTTAGGCTAACCATGCTGAGATTTAAAATTGCATTGATTATAATATAGCTTTTAAATGATTTATCGAGGCCAATGGATTTTGCACATGAAAGTTGCTACTAGCTGATTAGGAAAAAAAAAAAAATCAGCATTGCTTTTTCTGCTGCTTAGGAAATTGCAATCCTCTATCTGCAGCCTGAAAAGCATGTTGCCATGGAAATGATGCTTATGCTTTCGTAAATAAAAGTATTCTAGGGTCACAAAGGTCTGCAGCATAAACAGGGGCACAAACACTGCCTGGACAAGTGCCAGAGTGGTTTAAACATATAGGAAGATAATTTTAATGGTATTTTACTTTCACTGTTACCATCAGAAGGACTGATGAAGGTTAACGTGTAGCTATAACCTAGTCACGTAAACAAAGCAGAGAACATCTTACCTATTGGTATTAATTAGAGTACTGAAAGCGATATCATAGCCCTCCTGACTGGTCTTCCTCTGCTCTACCGGATCAGTGTTTCTTTCCCTTTCCCTGCAACACTGAACTGAGATGCATGCATACACTTAACCACGGGCAGCTTTACTGAAATCATCAGCACAGCCCAGGACATTGGGAAAACTGGGTGATGTTATAAAAAGCTGTATCATGGACTATCTAATCGTGTTGTATTTAAAGGCAGAACTTTGTCAAAGGAAATCACCTTGAGAGGATGCAATGGGCTTTTCTTCACAAGACAAGCTGGGAACTACAGGCAAAGAAGGGCGGCGCTGGTTGGGATGGCAGGCACCAGCTAACCTTCCATTGGGAAACTGAGGCATGAGGGCTTCTATCCTCACTATAGCACTTCTATACTCACCCACAGACTAACTGAGACATGCTCTCCATTTACTGCACGTCTGTTATTCCATCCCCAGGCCTTGAGATGTACAGCCAGAGCTCAGGGCAATGCAAGGCCACCTGTTCAGCTCCATGCTTCCAGGCAAAGTGCTTTGTGTTCAGCACTGTGTGTGAACACCTGCAGTTTGCTGTCTTAATCAGTGGCAGAAATAATGGAAAAATAACAAAAGTGGGAGTGAACACAGAGACCAACAGCGGAGATTGGGATGCATGGGTTTGTGTGAATCTTCAGGAGGAAAGCAGGCAGTTACTGTTTCTGGTGGGTTCTTAATTGTTCAATGGACTGCTCAGTGGCATTAAATGGGCCATACTGTGAAGCTGCCTTGGGCAGTATCAGATCAAGGATACATGCTTTACTCCTTGTGCTTTAAATACCCGTACAGGCATTTAGAGCAGACAGTCACTTTAAATAAAACTACGGAGATTGCAAATGCCACAGCTTGCTTATTTACTGCGTCTCAGCCTGCCCAAAATGTGGAAATAATGTTTCCAAAGATGCTGGAATTCATGTGTCTGTTGAGGATCCTGGCTCCTGTCCTGAATGATACTGCATATTCAGGGGATGATTCATTCACTCGGAGCAGGAGGAAGGGCTGTACCAGCTGTACCACCTCTCCGCTCTGATTGACGGCAGTGATGCTCCCACAGGGAAGCTGTGCCTCCAGGTTCAGCCAGCAATTACGGAACAAACAAAGGAGAAGTGGAATGGAGAAATGATTCACGGGAATAGAAACCAAAAGAGAACCCGGAGATGATGCCAAGCTGAGCTGAAGGCAAAACTTTCATTCGTTTCTGCTGAAAATGTGCAGACAGCATGGTGCATCTCTTTGGTGTGTCAGTTAACAGTGTGCTTTGCCATCTGCAAGGAAGGACCCAGGGGAGAGAAACGGCTTTGAGGGCTTTGAGCCTGCAAAAGGGTGAGAAGCTTCACAGCCAACAACATGGAAAGACCCAGCCTGGTAACTCTGATGGCTCCCTCAGCTATCTGAAATAAGCTTTCATATTTCAATGTAAAAAAAAAAAAAAAAAAAGTGCTATCCCTGCTGGGATGGGAACTGTGTGGGATACGGATGGTGCCAGGCACGTTACACGCCTCGCCATGGATTTAGCACAGGGTTGGGCAGCTGACGGCTCCCAGCCGGCACAAGGCTTGCTCGCATGGGAACAGGGTGGGAAAAGTGGACTCAAAGGTTGCCCAGAATGACCAAGAGAGGAAAAATTCCTCCTGCCACTCCTCTGCTAATCAAAGGGGTGTGAAGGGGAAGTTTCGATCTCTTGTGTCCCGCGCTGCCAAACAGAGAATAAACACGTATTTTATACACTAAATACACAGCCAATTCCCGCATTAAGGAAGAAGCTTCCATGCAGTCAAAATCAGACTTGAAATCTATCTCGCCTGTTGTGTATTAGGTTGCTGGAAATGGAGCCAGATGTTCCAAACTCCCTCAAAACACCCTCCAACCACACCTGACCGGCTGCCCCAGCCCCTTGCTGCTGGCAGCACCTGGGACCTCATCTCAGAGACTTCCTACAGCGTGTGATCTTAGCAGGTCAAAGTTTCCAAAGGTGGGGAGAAGAGAGGCAGCTCCTCCCCTACTTGTAGTAAAGGTATGTGCCTCCAAGCCACTAATTTAGAACCAATGAATCAGAAATAAGTAACATAAAAAACATCCAGCATTCCTGTTTGCTGAGCACCTTCTCTCCGAGCAGACAAAAGCACTGTGACAACAGGGAAACTGCCACTGAGAAGTGGCATGGCTGCATCCAAATAGCTCATGCAGGGAAGGGAACACGTTGCCCAGAAAGCAGGAGCCAGACCTCCTGCACCCAGAGCTGCATCCCCACTGCAGGGAATGGAGCTGCCCTGTACTCACCACTTCTTGTTTCCATCTTTGTAGCTTAACAAGGCAGCTCTTCCATGGCTAATTAACGTTACTTCTGAGGAAACAGCATTTCGCACATACTGGGCTAGATTTGAACTAAAATAGAGTAGGTTCTACCTCTTTTTTTTTCTGATACTGCTTGAAATTCATAAGCTTCAAAATGGTATTTCTGAAAAAAAGCCTTTTCTAACCTGAGGAATAAAGGCAGCCAGACTGCCCGGATGCACACCTGTGTTGATGTGAGCATGCTGCTGCAGCAGCTTCAGGACACACACAGGCACAGCTCAGAGCACCACGACAGACACCCCAGCTCAGAACTAGGACCTCCTGGGCTGTGGCAATCTGCCCAGCACAGCTCCTGTCCCATGGGGTGAGGCAGTGGCACAGGACCGGAAGGGATGGCTCCTACAGGCACAAATCATGCTGCAGAGAGTGTGCACTTCAGGGAATGAGTGGCACTGTAATATACTGCATCATCCGGAATGCATCTATCCACGAATTAACCTCCATAGACACACCTATTTCTCCACGTGGCTGGGTATATACATAGGTCACTCCCAAAGAAACGCCTCCTGTTTATTTCCACGGTAACGACAACAAAGAGCACAATAACACTATTTGATAGAGCACATTCTCAGCTACAAAGCACTGATTTTCAGCGCTGTCACCATCATAAGTCACTGCCATAAGCCAATTTGCGCAGGTGAGCTGATTGAGATGCTCATGGTTTGGTGGTGTGACAGCAGGGCATGGCCGTCCGGAATGTGGCTTGCCCTTTACATCACTGCCACTGCTGCTGAAATGCACCATCCACCCCTCGCTGTGCTCACATTCTCCAGAAACATTCATCAAGCATTGATGAACGTCAGTTCCACACGGAGCAATTCAGTGACACTACTTTGCTTTATACACACCTTCACAGACACTTCCTGATGCAGTCGCCTGTCACACAGCAACAAAACGTGAAGGTATATTAGTGGGAAGGTTCAATGCCTACTGCCATCCCACCAACATCCACCTCTGACATCGTGGCCAACATAAATAACAGGAGGCATTACTTTCAGAGCAGCCCTCTTCTGTATCTCTATCAGCATCCCACCAAGAGTTTTTATTATCCCCGCTTACTAATGGGATAATGAGGGTACAGAATGAGCCCCCTCAGCTGCCCAGTCTCAGGAGAGGGGGGTTTATGCCTCTGTAGGAAATGTAACAGGGGGAGTGGAGTTTCCCAAAAGCCAAGGAGCTCCTCAAGCAGGAGCCTTGCTCAGCTCACACTTTGAATCATGCTGGCAAATAAACATGAAAGTGAAAACGGTATTGTGAGATGGTTACACAAGAACGGGCGGATCCCAGGACCGAGCCATTGTTCCAAACATTTAATTAACATTATGAAAGCTGATTAAAGGAAAATCTGTAACCTCCAAGGAAATCCTATTTTCCCTCACTTCCCATAGCTCCATAATTTTCACAATGTAAGAAGGAAAATGTTATTTCAAGGCATGAGTCATAACAGCTACAACCTGATTTTTGCATCTGTCATGTCCTGCAGCTTAAATAATCATTAGCAGTGACACTAAACGGGGACGCTTCTGAGGCAGCATTTTTCCCCCGTTATGACATGACCTTAATTGCCATCATAATTTCTAGACTTTGTGTCATCCTGGCATGATGACAAGCGTTCACCCACGCTCAAGAACTAAGATTGAGTTTGCAAGGACAGAGATTACCTTCCTGGACACAGCATCTCAGATACAAAGTGCTAATGACACGCCACGGCCTGGCCTTGGAACAGCAGGGGCCGTTTGCTTTGGTCACTGGGACGAATTCCTTTGAAGGCAGGAGACCAAAGCACCATCCCCAGAGACTCCCCGACTAACCTTGAGCAAATCACTTACCCTTTCTCTTCGCTTGGAGGTGGGGTAAGCAGGGTAACCTCCCTCGGGGGCACTGCAAACTGCAGTGCATGTATTGAAGACACGCAGGTGGAAAGCACTACTGCAAAGTTATTTTATCAGAGATTTTCTTTTCGATGCAGTGAAAAAATCAGCTGTATGCGTTGCATATTGCCTTTCCTGGGACTATTTTGATGATCCAGAGTGGTCAGCTTGTCGGAGTTCTAATCCCGGGATCTAATCTTGGAGGCAAAGAACAGCTGATTGCCAGTGCTGTTTACACAGAGCAGTGCCCTTGGGGTGATACAGCTGATGCGCCCACCCCACACTGCTCAGCACAGTGAGCTGAGGGTCCTCTCACCCCTCCAGGACAAGGACACCCAGCTTACCCTGACAGCAGTGGCATGTGGGTGGCATCACTCACACATCGTAGCCCTGGGTCACCTCCTGGTTAACAAGGCCGTGGGTGGAGGATGGCCATCCAGACAGCCAGACCTCATTCTCAGAGCATGCACATGGCTTTAGTCCTTCCCAAGATAACAAAAATACATATGCATGTAAGTACACGATATAAATACAGCCTCTAGCAGCAGCAACACTCTTATGTAGCTCTCTCCATCTGCAGACAAATGTAAGAGATCCCAGAAGCTCCAAGACCATTCCAGAAAGGGGAAACATTGCCTTTTCTCCTGTGCATGTCTATTGCAAAAAAAACAAACCAACACTTCAGTGATGACATAGCAATATCATTCTCACTGCTCACAACTATGAAGAACAGGCATTGCTTTGGTACACACTGAGATTTCAGTAAGGTTGAAGCTTTATTTACAGGACAAAATTCCTCCTTCAAAAAATGACAGAGCTGAAGCAAAAGAATATTAATGTAATATAATGAATACCAAATGCACAAAATTCCGACTCAGTTAAAGGCAGACGGCTGGGTATTCTGATAAAAATGGGCCTCAATTTTTTAATTCTTTCTTTCTTTACCTGGCTTCTGTGTCGGTCAGAGCAGCAAAATATAGTTTCTTTGATACGCAGCAAAACTGAAAACAATCCTGCCAGGAGCACAAAACAAAACAAAAACTCCCACAAAGGAGAAAGCTATAAAATTTGAGAGGCAACAAGGCTTTCAGAAGTGCCAGCTTCCCAGTGCAATGGCTGGAAGGGTGGCCCGGCCTGGCGGCGGTTCAATCATTTTGTAATGAAGGACAAATACTTTCAACATCCTGAGAAAGAGGGCGGAGGGAAGGGGGGCACGGCTCCCTTGCTTTCCCTCCTCCTGCTATTCTTTCTCCTCCCTCCCCCCACCCCCTGGATTTTCAATAGCTCTTTAGTGTTTCCATCAAAGGCTTTTACCATTCATTGTCCCTTTCTGGTGCCTGCCTTCCACCTGTCTATCCATCACAGCCCTAACCCAGGTCCTTTTTTCCCCCCTCTTTGCTGTTTTTCACGCAGTGGGATTTGTTTATAAGCTTATGTATTACCTAAAATTGAGGGGAGGAGGCTGCTGGGAGGAAAGCGAGAAAGCAGGATTAAGGAGTAGTAATTCAGCTCCATTGCATTTCTATCCGACCAGTCATAAAATGTGCAAATCCTGTTCCTGGGAATTTCATTTCGGAGACCTTCCCTGCCACTGCCCTTCGTGTGCCCCCTCTCACGTGAAAACCAGCCTTGGGAAAGCTGCTTGTACCTCCAAGGATACCAAGGGACATGGCAGGGAGAGGGCTCTGAGCAGCACAGTCGCAGGCAGACACCTCAGATGGGCCGATGGGCAAAGCGGTGGGAAGCAGCAGGGACCAAACCTGGCAGGATGGGAGGAGTAAGAGGGGAGAGGCCCGTTACGCTGACAGCTCTCAGCACCCCTTGTCCATATCCAATTAGTCTGGATAAAAGACAGAAGTAAGGTAGCCTTCCCGATCGCTTCATCCTGTAAGAAAATGATGCAGAAATCTACGAGATCGACCCATCGGCCTGAAGAGTTATTTATTATTTTTCAATAAAATGTAAAGAGATTGAGTTGGTTTCCCATCAGGAGCTCAGTTCTTTGTTTGGCAACTTTTTGAACAGTTTGACCATACGTATGACAACAGAAAATGCATTTCACTTGCTTGCAGCAGCAGCTTGCTATAAACCCAGTCCAACAAAGATTTACAGTTCTAGCAGCAGTGGGGTATATGAAATGAGAAGCCGTTTCATCCTTAAACTGCTCTGCAGTCTCGTTGAGATGATGGAAGTCATCGTTCCTAAGGCCAGAGGAGTGCAGGAGTTACGCAGCCGATTCGGCTGTGCTGGGAGCAGGAGTGCAAATTGGGTCCAAGACGAAAGGAGGTCCACAGAAACAGCAGCCCTTGGTTTTGCTGAACAGTCAAAAAGAAATCCTTAATGACGTTAGCCTTGCTTTGCAGGCTGAAGAGGAGCACTACTTCCATCAACTAAATAATCTTTGCCTTTCCCGAGGGCACTGCAAAAGGACAGACTGTGATTGCTCACCAGCCACTCTGATGTTTGTGCTCTTCCCACCCACCAGCAGCCTCAAACCTGAGCAGGACTTTGGCACAGCAGGTGGTATCCTTAATCCCACGGAGGGCCAGCCCGGAGCCAAGATTAGCAGAAGAATTTGTTTTCATTAAAATCCAACCTACCATTACCATCCTATCTGATGGTGCAGGTTTAAAATGCGCATGTCCAGCTATTCTAGCAGTTCTGTTTCTGCAGGGAAAGGACAGCTCGGCAACCTGCCTCTTCACTTTCTAATGTCTTTCTTTTAATCAACAGGTAACTAAGACAGACACAGCGAGGAATGTTAAACGCACCTCCTCCTGGAGAATTCTGCCAGCAAGGTCAGTGGAATCGGGACTTCACCTTCGTTATGTTTCTTTTGACTGTGGAATTGGTCTGATTTTCCTTCCAGATAACTTTTTTTTTTTTTTTTTAAATGGGACCGTGGAACAAAATAAAATAAAATATACAGAAAGAGACATACAAATAAACACTAATACACGCAGGAAAAATACAAACCTTAGCACCATGCACTCCCCTCGTTATTAGACAAAGGTTGGGAAGGGTTCACAAGTGTAAAACGCTCATGTGAATTACGAGATTACTGCTCAGTTTTCTTTCAAGTCGTGGGCTGGAAACAGGTGGTGGCTGTAGCATTTATGACGACACAACGTGTTACTGCAAGCCTAGCCATCTCGCTCTCCCTCCTCAAAAATGCAGCTGCAAGGAAAATTGTGGAAAATCACATTAATAGTCTCTTCCACCATGCAGTTTTCCAGCCCTTCATCCCTGGCCAGCACACAGACAGAGCCATCTTGGATCCCAGCAAGAATATTCTCCTGAAGCCTGGCCTGCATGGTTACCACTGATCAGCTCATTTAATGGCTCATTAATGAGGAGTCAGTCAGCATCTTAAAAAAGGCTCCAGAAGGCAGGTCCCTAAGGTCATAGCACCTGCTATGTGACCTCAAGCACTCAATAAGGGGAGCACTCAAAAGGAAGCACGCAGACCATCCTTCAGCTGTTTGTTATTTACACTTTCAGTTCAGGCCAAGTAGGTTGATCTACAGAGGAATGGGAGGACAGATAGAATATTTGCAAAAGCATCTCCATGACCTAAGGGCCCAAATCTCACTTCCAAGCATGAACAGAAATTGTCACAAGGGCAAATGCCTCTCGATTTTCAGTAAGACAGCCTTTCCGTGTCTGCAAGTCTAGAGGCATCTCAGTGTCTAAGGGCAGAAAGAGCATCTAAGCTCATATTTAAATATCTTGCTGTATTTAAGAAAAACTATAAGAGCTCAAGCTATGACAGCACATCTGCACTGGAAACCATGAGGTGAACCAGGGGTACAACCCCTCAGCTCTCTGGTCATCAGTGAGGGGCTTGTTTACACCAGTGGACAATTTATCATTCAGAGGACCTCTGAGTGCTTTCTAAAGATAGGAAATATTTCTGTTCCACATTTTCTGAGGTCTAGAGGAGCATCAACTCAATAGCAACAAATCCATTAGCTTGGGATTTAGGCCTTTGTCCAGAGACAGGATCTCATCATTACTTCTTCACTTGAGTTAGTTAAGAATCTGGCAAATACTGATTTTTCAGGCAAGTGCCACCGATACATTAAATCTGAGTATCCATGCTTCTTTCCTGATTTTGCTAGCATCAGTGCCTGATAGAAAGCATCAGCACAACATAACGTGTTCATCATTACACATACAGATGTGATCCTGCTGTCCTCCCTGCAGCTGGATGTATGCAATGCAGCATTCTGCTTTCTGTGGTGTAGAACAAGACAGCTGAAAGCAACACAGACTTCTACCATTCCCTTTATCTCATTTCAGCAACGAGTTCAGGAGGCTGCTACAGAAATTCAACACCATACACATTTACAACTTTGAAAAGCTTTTTCCTAGGGGCAGAATCCTTCCACTGAACAGTGTTACACATCCACTGCATGGCTACCATAGTTAGCAACCTAAGACCCTTCTTCTCAGATACAGAAGGTACCTTTTTTTTTTCTTTTGGAAACTTCGCCCTGCAAAATTCATTAGTATCTTATGTGACAATGTATTTCCTGTTAGTAATGAGCTATAAAGTGTATTAGAAGTTTCCACTTCTGATTTTATCTTTTCCTGATCTAGCCTACAAACTCTTTTGAAGTTGCTCAAAGTGTTCTTCATGTATGCTTGTTTTGCTGGCAAACTTTTCCTTCATTAAGCAAGATAAAGAAATCAAGATGATATGATCTGCTTAATTTCCCACCTTTTCAAGGAACTATTTTAAGATGTTTTTTTTTCTCTTGCCTTAGAAAAGAAATGTTGAATAAGGAAGGAAGAGTCCTCAGAGGCCCAGAAAAGGCAGTTGTTGCTAAGGGCTTTCTACTCTAGCAGTTTACTGCTAGAATGCTACTGAATAGTTAAAGATGTCTGATTTCTCTCAGTGCTATGGAATAGTTTTCTGAGAGCTTGCTGCTGAAACTAGCATCACTGCAGGCAATGCACAAGAGGAAAACACCAGGCTTACACTGCGTTACCGCAGCAGGCTCCTCAGGGCCTCAGCAAGCAAGCCAGCTCAGATCATGCCTAACTTGAAGTGTGAGTAACTTCAAAGCAACATCTCATGTGCTTCAAGTTCAGCTTTACCACTGAGCATCTTGCTGAATCACAGCTACGGGGAATGCAGGGAGCTAATGGGAAACATTTGCACTTGCCAACTCCAGCTGTGAAGTCCCTGATCCTCCATTACATAGGCAGACATAGCCCAACAGTTTGGGTTGGTCAGCAGCATCTTCACAGTCAATGGATACAAGCTGCTAGGGGAGCCATTCTGAAATGCACAGAAGAGATATCCCTGCATAGTGACACTGTGAGTTAAAAGCTGCATTTGTGGCCAGCAGTAAAATACACAGGCTGCAGGACTCACGCACAGCCTATTGCAGATGGTATAGTGGGCATGGTATTGATGTGCTGATGGTTGGACTAGATGATCTTAGAGGTCTTTTCCAACCGTTATTATTCTATGATTATCTTTTGTCACTTTTACTGTGAAAACCCATTGCATTTAAGGGGGAATTCAGGTCCTGAAGTCATATTTGAGTAGCTGCCTTGAGTGAAACATTTCAGCAGCTCATTTCGCTGTGGGTGACTTAGGACAAAGAAGAGTCTTCCCTTCCAAGTTCGTGAGCCTCAGTTTCCATAGGAATCCTACTGAACAGACACTACCTCTCCTCAGCCATTTTGTGCAGCGAGAGATGCTCCCCCCATGAGGGATATGTCAGCATCAGGGAAACACAGGCCCTCTGGACAAGAGGAGAAGAGGGAAACTGCAGGGCTTGACAGCAGTCAGGGAGGACTGCATCTTTAGGAAAAATGACTGGAGGATGAGAAGCCATATCTTGGCTTCCTTGAAGTGTTGTAGCATCTCTCCTTCTTTCCCTGGCCCCACACAGCCGAGCACAGCTGGGCACTGGGCTCCAGCAGAGCAAAGCTCAGGGCAGAATATCTGCCCTCTTACAACTCCCCTGGTCTTCAGCTTCATCCAGCATCTCCTTTCTATGGATACACAGGTAAAAGCAGGGCACAAATGAAAAGGTGAAGCATGGCTGGCATTAGGAGGACATCCCATGTGAAATGTCATGCTGATTCCAGCTGCAGAATGGAGCATATGACAGCTACTTGAAAAGTCACTGCTGGAAAAATTTTCACCTAACAGCAGAAAGCAAAGCTGAGATTTGAGTGCAAATACCCAGGGAAGGAAGGCAACATTCAACACAACATCCCTGTGTCAGAATTAGCCTCTGCAAAACAGAGACAGAAGGATTTTGGAACCACTTGAGGTTTACTGAAAGTCTTGAAAAAAAGAAATAGAATGTACAAATGTACAAATCCCCGAGACTGCTGAAAAAAATCACAGCAGGGGGACCCAGCAACTTTGGAGGGCTCTGGATACGCCAGTGAGGGCTACAAGTTTGAGTTCATCCCCAAAGGGAGCTGAGGCCACTCAGCACTTCACCCGCAGCCCCCTCTGAACAGAGTCTTCTTTCTTGTGGTCAAATGGGGGATATCTTGAATTTATGTCTTGCTTCTCCCCTTGTGAGCAAACGAAACAATTTCTGTGAGTAATTCTACCCACTAATTGCCAAGGAAAAGTCTGGTAATGAATGCTTTGCATTTTTGACAGGTCAGAGGCTTCCCTAAACAAAGTTGCTGTTTTATGTTTTCTATCAGCACATGTTTGCATCCGGGGACCTCAGCAGATTCCAGGGTGGATGAATCTCTGTGGGAAATTGCTCGTCCGTATTTTCTTGTTTTAACTGCTCCAGGAAATGAGTCTATTTTTACAACAACACTAAACTGCAAAATAAGGAACCATTATCTGCTCCACGCCGAGAGTTTCGGGTCAGCTCTCAGGTAACTGTCATTCCCCGTGAAGTCAATGGAGTTGCATCTATTTCTGCAAGGTAGTTATGCAATTGGTTGATCAGTTACTAGAACATGCTGCTACCATTGGCCTGAGGAGTGTCTCATTTTCATATGACTCAAAGTCCATCCAAGCCCTGATGTATCGATAAGTGAAGTATTCGAGTATTATGGTCTGTAAAGATGATCATTAACTGCTGAAAGATTTAAGCATAAACATTTTCCATCAACACCTACTCTGTTGCTGTATGATCGTTATATACAGTAGATTTCCTGGATTCATTTTTCACCTGCCAAATAAACTGAGGTGGGCTTTTCAAATGTCTAAAATGGCTTTTGTTCCTGCTAATTTCTGATTGCTCTCAAGAATCAATTCTTTTTTTTTTTTTTTTTTAATTTCCATGGGATTTCAAGTGCTACGGATCCATCTGCATCTGTGTTTCTGTACTTCGCACACCTGATCTTAACAGCCGCTCAGTTTCAAAGATGGACAATAAAACAGATGCCTTTATTACGGGTGGTCAAAGGTACTTTACAGAGGACAAAACAGTTCTGATCTTGGAAAGATGAGCACACGGCTCTCAGGCTGGGAACGACGTATTCTTGACTTCACACCTGACATAACAGCTCATCAAACATCACTTGAGAAACAAGCGTACAGACAACAAACTTAGAGACAATATCCAAGGAAAACACTACCTAACCTATGACTCGTTCTTTGATTTACAGCTGTGATTGCAGGCCCCACCTTACAGTCATATGCCATGATAATAGGTAGCAGTTCAATGAGAACCAGCCATAACTTTTATGTGTTGTGGTGATTCTGAGCTACTTCAGCACATAATTTGGCCTGATGCAGCAAATAATTAGAATGACTGATAGGTGACATTCCAGAGCTGAAAAATGAATGATCAGTCTTCTGGTGTTGTTCACTTTCTTTTCTAATTCTTTTCTTAAAATGAAAAGTACCACATTTCACATTAAATTTTAACTAATTATTTTTTCTCATCTTCAATGTGTCTGTTATGGATACGACGGTGAGTTTTCAAATTATGCTCTCTGAGGTTCCATCTTAAATGGGAATTGCTGGCATTAGTAATTGCAGACCTGAACCCAGTCCTGCCAGAAAAGCAGTTTTTCAAAAAAAGGAACAAACAAGGCAAAATGGCAACCTGCACAGGAGCAGAACGGGGGGAATCCAGCTGCATGTTCTACTCTCGTTACTTCATATTTGGGGTTATCTACAACGTACTTCGACACTCTAAGGGCAAGAAGACCCCTGTCTCCCAACTGGGATCCTGTGTCAGAAAAAGGGTAATAGACACCAACTCTGCTCCGTTTGCCTGAAGTCAGTGGAATATTTCTGCAAAGTCACAGGCTCAGGCACTGGTTTGAAGAAGGGTAAACACAAGCACCTCTTAAAGTGCTTTTCCACTTTAGGGCCTGGGAAAAGAATTCAGGATTGGGCCTATGATAAAAACAGCTCCCTTAGGAAATGCTACCCACACCATAAAAGGAAGGAATTACAATGAAGTGAGGGGAAGGACAATGAAAAATTGTCTACTGAATTTTCACAAATTCCCATAAAATCGGACTCTTAATTTGTTCTATGTGCATAACTTTCATTACAAAGTCACAAAAGGTTGGCTCCTTAGAGATGCAGGAAATGACTAGCTCATGATAGCATAAAAGGCTGCATAACTGCATGGGCAGAAAGCTGGATTTTCATCAGTCACCACATTCTTTGACATGGCAGTTTTTGGATCATGTATCCAATGCACAATAATTAGGCAAAATGACTTACCCTCAATCTTTTCAGTATTTATCTCTAAGGGTGCAAGGATTCATTCTTGGAAAGGAAAGATGGTCGTGTGATTTAGGGCACTGGATGAGCACTCAGATCTGAGTCCTATCCCTGGTTCTGCCATAGCCTTGCTGTGTGACCTTGCACAGTCACGTCTCCATGCCTCGGTCTCGCCTAAAATGGGATAACAATAGTTCTTTATTTCAGTGGGATATGAGCACAAACCCATTCAAGGCTACGCCACACAGAGACTCTACAGCAAAGAGCAGCATAGGAAAGCTGTGACATGACTAATACCTTCTGTTAATATGTGGGAAAACACACAGTAATTACTTAAATTTAAATATATATATATATATCTATAGGCTCAATTTTGGGGAATAAAACACTAACAAGCTTTTCTCTTCCACATCAAATTAAAGCACACATAAGTGGAAACCTCACTGGTTCCAGCAATTTCTATGTCTCCAAGATTTGCTTTTCAAGAAGCGGTGGAGTTGGAAACACCAAGAAAACAAATTCCTTGAAAACAAATAGGTACCTCTGCTTTGTCTAGGTTTGAAAGCAACGAAAACTTTCAGCCCAAGAGTGGGCCAGATCAACGCTCAGGGTAAGAGTTTCAAAGCCAAGGAAGGGGCTTATAAACATTATTTCCTCCACTTTACAGTAAAATACGAGCATACAAATCTGAGGTAGCATTGCAACTTCATCTTTGCTTTTGGGTGCACTTCCAAATTAAATTGTAAATGGGGATACTGAGTTTAATTGAGCTGTCAAGTGTCTGAAGAGCTTCAACACCGCTACTCCAGAGTTACAGTGTTACTGCAATTGGACAGAGCTTCTAAGGGAGCCTTCAGCACTATTTTGCCACATGCAAAGATGAATCTTCTTCTCTCCATAAACATGTGTCTATATAAGAGCATTTGTTTTTCACGTGTGTGGTCAGTTACAGGCTTGTAAGCCTGGGAGACAGATCTCAAGGCACATGCCTAGATAAAGCAATTGATTTCAAGATAAACAGATCAAAGACTGTTCTCGCAGGCAGAGGGAAAGCAAAGAGATATGTGATGAGAAAGAATCGAGGAAGGGAAAATTATTTCTGAGAGAAACAGAGAGATGGGAAAGTCAGGCAGAGAGTAGCTGGAAAACAGCCCACAGAAGGCGAATATGGACCTGAGGATGACAGCCAAGAGAACCTCACAGCTGGAATGTTGCAGCCCACTGGAGGGAGGAGATACATGAGATGCTGTTCCAAGTAGAATAAAAGGCTTAAGCTCAAAGACGCAGAAGATCTGGAGCTGCCTAGGAACCTCCAGGGCTGGAGAGGAGCAACTGCTAGTCACTATGTGCTAACAAAGCAGATGCCAAGTAGGACGAAAAATGGCAGAAGAGGAAGGAAAACTGGCACGTAATCTTTGATTTCACTCAATAACAACTGAAGGGCAGCTCCAAAAGTTGGAGCACAGAATTAAATGCAAAAAATTGACTAGAGAATCAGCAGTCATGCACCGTATGATGACACTGAGGTGTATTCTGACACTTCCCTACACACAGGCTTTTTGATCAGAAAAGACTGCAAAAAGGATAACATCAGACCAACAACTTCTGAATCTCCGGACAGGTGAAGCAACTGCAGAATGTAAACAGAACATCTTGCCCCCAAACCTCCCCCTAGTTTGTGCAAGGACAAAAACAACAAGGCATGGAAGCACTGCGTGGGAACAGGACTTTCAACAACTGCCACCTTCGGGTCCCTCCTCAAGCACCCTGCTGCACCCCACCCCACAAACAGCAGTTATCAATCACGTATGTGGCGGCTCCAACTGCTCACACCCTTCCCTCTGTCTCTCCAATCGCTGCACTTCAGAAGCCCAGGCAGAGTCCAACTCCAACAGACAGTGGAAGAAGGTATGACACGGCATTCACAGATGCACAGAGAACTGTTTAATTTACAGCCACAATGGTGAAACAAACCATTTCAGAGCTCGGACATTCAAAGTTAAGTCTGACACTCATTCTTATATTCACTTATTGTGCTTAAGTATTAGAGAACACAGGATTACATTAACAGTACACGACAATCTGAGATCCCTGCAGGACCGAGGAGTGAAAGGGATGAGCAAGAATGAAGGACCGGCCCCTCAAGTGGTGTAAGCTGGTACCGCTCCATTGCAGGCAACAGAGCAACGGTGATTTACACCAGCTGAGGATATGGCCCTTGAAATGTCCAACTTAACTTTGAATTAATGTCTCCTGTGTCACAACCTTTACAGTTAGTGTTCCTTCTGGTTGTTATCTGCCAGCTCACAGAAGGCCCAACAGCACAGCCTGCGATGCTCACAAGGCTCCGGGTAATATCTCAGCCGGGTGACAGCAAATGGCACGTATGTCCTGACACTGCTCCTCGTGCTTTAGAACTGCGGACTGGATCCTCATCTGATGTAAATTAGCTTAGGGGCGGCTGAAGTAAAAAACATTTGCCAATTTATACTAGCTGAGAATATAGCCCTGAGATTTTTGTGTTATCTGCTGCATGCCATATAAACATTGTGCTCGAGAGCAAAGGCTCATGTGCGTTTCATTCCTGGTAACAAAATTAACTCGACACTACAAGCCTCAAACAAACGACTACTGGAAAAGACTCCATTCAGTCTTCTTTCTCTCCTGGTTTGCTGAATTTGGCGTAACACACTTATTTGCTGGCACCAGCAAAATGCATGCCTCTTAGCTTACTTTCTTCCCGAGAACTTCACACAGGCCAGACTCGCTGGTGGTGTAAATCAGCAGAGCTCCGTTACAGTCAACAGAGTTACTCCAGGGAGTCTGGCCCACACGTTTCAATGCAACCTCTTATGCCAGTGTGACCATAGGACTCTCCAAAAGGTTTTTTGCAAATTATTCCACTTAAGTGACTTCAACATCCTCTCATACCTGCACAGTGTCTGAGTGGGTCACATAATGCTTTTCATCTACATGATTTTAATGGATATATGATTTCTTTTTCATTAGATATCTTTCAGACAAAAAAAAAAAAAAAAAAAAAAAAAAAAAGGAAAGGAGCAACATTATTGGCATCCCACTGAAACATAAATATATAAATTACATTTTATACACTTCTTTAAACGCAGACACATACATTCATGTGCATAACATTGTGAACAGCACACTTAGTGGAAAACAAGCACAGACAATCTTAGTTAAATGTATTTCCAGTTTTGGTGCTCAACAAATACACCGGGAAAATGACCACAAAATAGAACGGTGACGAACTATCTCTGCATTAGCATCTGAAACCAATAATGCCTGTTAGCTAACATTGCTTTGTTTGGTTGAAACTGGACATAGCTAGAGGGACGGGGGATGGCTGAACTACACTTAAAGAAATGGAAAGGTTAAAACTCTCTCTTCTGCTGTTTTAAGGTTCTGCAGCTCACTCACACTTGAAGGTATTTTGTATTTGAGTGGAAACGCTGTCTCAAGATGAACTCTTTCCCATTCCAAACTAAGAGGAGAAAACTCTTTCATCTCTTTGCCGATGTTTCACAAAGAAAAGAATCCAGTAGTTCATTTTACATATCCAATGAGATAACCCAAACAAAACAAAGGATGCATAATCCAAACTACTGGGGTGGGGCAGTGATTTTGGCCCAGAGAGTAGCCATGTCATATCTGGCACAGCCCTGAATTTCCAAAGCAGTAAAGCAGGATTTAGACATGTGGCTCCCACTGCAATCCAGGGAGAGCTCAACACAACATCCTTTGGCACTTTGAAAATACAGGGGCTCATGCCAGACTATTTTATCTGCCCTGCTATAGTTAAAATAGATTTTGATGTTATTTGGGCTATTCTACTACAAAAATATGACCACAAAATGCTTTTTTTTTTTCCTCTTTTTTTTTTTTTTTTTTTTTTTTTTTTTCTTTTTTTTTTTTTTTTTTTTGGTTCAAGAAAACATAGCAGGCTTTCTCAGGTATATAAAACTGTTAATTTTTAGATAAAAATACAAACTTCACCTTTACAAAAACACATATTTCTGTTGAATACACATAAAGCATAACATTTTACCAAAAATAAAGAATTTTAGGTTTTGTTCAAATATTTGCAGCAAGGTAGTTCCCATGCCACCATGACATTGTACAATGCAGATACAAGAACTTGTACATTTCACACAGCTCCAACATGTGAAATAAAAGTATCTGTATACTGATAAGAATGACAATTGCTAACACAATATCACTAGTAGGCAACTGGCATAAGTCTGAAAGGAAAAAAAAAGGGTTTTTGCATGGATATCCTATGATTTGTTTACGCACGTCTCTCTTTTCTTTCCTCTTTATTTCTTTTTACGTAATGCTTTAAATTACGGGGGAGGTTGGGGAACATAAACCAAGAAACGTCTAGAAAATTATGCATAGGTATACCACTTTTATTTTAATACATCTCATTAGTTTGCATCCCACTAGGAGAAATACCGCAATGTTTCGTGTTCTTACTGTTATACCAGTCTTTTATATGTGTTATTGGCAAATGTAGTCCAAGAGATAATAAAAAGCTAGGCAAAGAGTAAAAAGAAAACTTAATAATCACTTTATGGTGTAAAAAAAAAAAAAAAAAAAAAAAAAACAACTAAAGATCCCCAAAAGGTTTGTTGCTTTTTTTTTTGTATAGACTTTTAAAACACCACCAAGCAAGGATGTATTGTTCTATAGTGTTTGCGTGGCATTTGATCATTTCATACATTCCTGCTTTATTTGTGCCTGAAGTCCATCAGTGTCCATCCATCTTCATCAAGAACGCAGGCACATTTCTTGACGTAAAGCACCGTTGACTGCTCTGACAGAAATCCACTATTCACTCAGATTTTTGTCATGTTTTTGGGTACTTTTGGTATCCTCCATTCATTCGTTCAACTGTCTTTTTTCTTTTCTGTTTTTTTCTCTTTTTTTTTTTTTTTTTCTTTTTTGGACAGGGAAGCTTCCTATTGTTTCACAGAGTGCTACAATACTTGCTTTGATGTCACATTAAACAAATGTACATTGTCTCTTTGTTCTCATTAAGTGTTCTTTTGAGCCAGTTTTGTTTTGTTTTTTTTTTCCACACAGGAGAACAAATAAAGTATACAGTCAATAAGCACCATACATAGTAGGTTCAGGAATGTAACAAACCATGTACATCCATGTCCCAGAGAGAAGTTTTTTTTTCTAGCTTATTTTCACCTTACATCTGCAGGAGAGAAAAAAGATACAATAACTCTATGATTAGAATCAAAGGTCCTATCCTCAAAGCAGATGACTTAAAAATTAAAAATTAAAAAAAAATAAAAAGCTGTTCTGCATGAAGAGTCACTAACCTGGGGCAAGGAGCTCTAAATGCTGCTCTGATTGAGTTTACATGCGCACTTTTAAGGGTTGAATTTTAGAAAATCTTTGCTTCTATCATACTACTCCCAATAAATACCTGTTAATCTGAAACAGGATATCAAGTTTAGCATTCTTTAGAAACGACACATCAGTAAAAACGAACACTGCCATTGGGAGTTTATGTGCAAAACGAGATGTTTGGAATTCGGTTCACCATCATAAGGGCATTCGGTACACACACTGCAAAATCCAAATCATTCCCACTCCAAACACTAGAACCAAATGCAAGTGCTGCAATTTGCATAATTTACAAGTCATTAAGAAATGAAAACTCAGTATTCAATTTGGAACGTGCGTCTCATCATCATACACCGCTAATACGCTGGCCAACAGATTTCAGGCATTTCTGCATTCAGAGGGTGTTAGTTTTTCACTATGCTGAAAACCTCATGAATTTTGATGACTGACTGTTATCCTACTGAGACTGAACAGAGCCAAAAAAAATCTTAATTTTGTGCTGTAAGTAACACAGGGCCTTGCAACACAAAGGTGGCATTTCTAAGCACCTTCCTCCTCAGGGGCACGTACAACCAATCCCAGTTCATGCCAAAACAAGGGTTTGATGGCCATGCAAAGAATAATATTTACTACATACATACACTCAATGTTTTATAGACAACGATGGGAACACAACAGTTTGTAACCTGGCAATTCATTCATGCATTATTATGTGATGTTTGACCTCAGAAATCAATAATAATGAAACAAAAGCAGAGGCGATGGAACTTGAGATTTCAGAAGCTGAAGTATTAGCACCCTCCAAAAAAATAAAAATAAAAAAATAAAAAAAGGCAAGAAAAGGAAGTAGCTCAAGAATGTAAGATGCTGATGGTGATGTGGAGCTTAAAGGAAAAATACCAGCAGGTAGAATTATCAAAGCCAATCAACTCTAATCTCTTTGCAGCCTTGAGGTAGCAAGTGTCAAGATTTTGAACAGTGATTAAGTTGAAGTGATGGTATTTGATTAAGTTTTCCAGTACTTGTGCTATTAGGGTGTTCAGCATATAGGTCCTACCTGAATATCAAATAGTTCCAGTAGGTTTTATGTTGGTTTTAACTTTTTTCGTTTCCGTTTTTTACCTGATTCCCTAGGCCTTCCTGTTAACATAAGGGCAGGGCTGGTCAAAAGCCCCAAGGTAATGCATTTTGTTGAACACTGAAGTCATAAACACTCAAACCGTTTACATTTCAAAGAAATCTCATTATCCTTTGCACTAAAGAAGTAACTTCATAACATCTGATTTGACATTCAGTTTATAAAGTAATTACACAAAAGTAAAGAAATAATAAACGAAGCTGGCATCGCATGCGTCATTACGAAGATCCATCTAGAATTACTGTTACCATGCTGTACTCAGTACACACTTGCAGCTCTGTAGTTAAGCTATTTTCAGCTCACCATCCACTTGCTGGTACAAATTTTATTCCCATCAGTTATTAAATCCTAGAAAACTGTATTCTTCCATTAAATTTCTACCCCTTTTTTCGCACATAATTTATCTAACCAAACATTTTTTTCCAAATGCAAGACAGAAAAAAAAAATTATGTACACAAAAATAACCATTTAAAATGTGTTTTTGTCTACTCATAACTCAACCTAGCCTGAGTTGAAACACTCTGCTTAGATCATAAATCAGTGTCAAATAGAAATCACAACAGAGGCCTATTGTTGCTTTTATACAAATTCTAATTCTGCTGTTCAGAGCAGCTGGAGCTGGCATTTCCTTAGGCCAGGTTTAATGCCTCCATGCCAGAGAGAGGCAGTCCTTACCCAGACACCTATGAAATCCATCACCACTGAGCAACTTTCTTCCTATATTTACTTGCTCTTTACTGACACTGATTTTGGGGCTGAGTCTACTGTAACCCCCTAAGCTCCTGGAAGAGGTGAAAGTGAACTTTTGCAGTGACTTCAGTGGGTTTCCTGAACATGTTTCTAGTCCTGCATTACACCTAGGAAGAGGATCTGAGCTAGTGATTTCAGGCACTTCATGAAAATCACATTGGAAATAAGTACTTCCTCACATGAACTTCCCCAGGATTATTTAAGTTTTGTCTTGAGAGGGCGGGCACACATTTAACCTAACACTGGCCAATGAATTCTTGACTACGTGTAAGTAAGAAAACAACAGAAGCAGGCACTGTTGTTTCAAAACTCATTACTTCTGAATATAAAATTTACTCCTCAGTGCTTTATATTCGTTTCGTATTTTCCCCAAGGTCAAGTAAATCTCAGCCTTAACTCTGTCTCCACAAAGTCCAAAGAAATTAGGCAACAGAGTTCACCAATAAGCTGCAACAGGACAACCTTTAACTTAATTAAGCAAGACCTGAGCAATATTGGTCATTTCCTTTTATTTAAAGTCTAACCTAATGAGAATTGACAAAATTTAAACTTCAAGTCCAAACTTTTTTTTCTAGCACAAACTGCTTCTAATTTTGCATCTCCAACACCCAGGGAAGTAGCTGGGGCTCTACTGTGTTCACTGGAAGCAAGATTTGCTTTACATTCTTTACTAAAATAAAAACAAGCTCTATATGAAATAAGCATTAATGCAAAAATAAAAGGAAAACATACCAGTTTCTTCTTCTCTATAATCTGAATTAGTATTTGTTGATGTACAGGTGCATTCCATATGCTCTTCTAATCTCACCAGAACTTCTTTTAATTTTGGCTTTTTTCTAACATATTCCACTTTTGCCACCTATAAAATACGATGAGGTATGTACTGAGACACATTAACATAGTTCAGGACTGAAGACAGATAACTATATACCTCTATTTTTGAATGAAGCCAAACCCACATAAAATGTTAGCATAATAATCTTCTTTTATCTTAATTGTGCATCATGTAACCACTTATTGCACAGGCTATTTGTTTACTCAAGTTCAGCACTTTGAAACAGTTTTCCCCCAAGATAAAATAATTTCCCACTCATTTCATTTTGATGTTTCAGGCAACTCAGTTTTCACATATATCACAATAAGCTTATATAGGAACTCTACTCGGCGTTGGTTCTTGCAGACTGCCACTTTCAGCATGCTGTTCTGTACATGTTGACCACTGCTCTTAAGCTGAAGGCTACCAACAAAGGCATTCAGTTAGATCGTAACACATTTTCTAGATCACAAATCGTTGTCTTCAGAGTCCTCTGGAAGTAAAGTACTCAACCCTTCAGAGACCTGCATCTGAGTATCAGCCTAGAAAGCAGTAATCTCAGTTCTACTCATTCCTTGCAACAACCCGAGACTTGCTTACAAGAGCTCCCACACACTGTTGTTAGGTCCAAGGGAACTGCCACGTGCAAACTAGATCCAGCCTTTGGTTCTTGTTGTGGAAGGCTAGCAGGTACGCTGCTCCTCTCTGATCCATCCAACTGCTTCCAACTGCACTGCCCGACTTTGTGCTAAAACACTGGCACCCTTTACAAGAGAAGTCTGGGGGGCAAGGCGAGGTTGGATAGCAGCATGTTGGAGAAGCAGCAGATCTCAATGCAAAGAAAACCAACACAAAAGGACATTGAGGTTGAGGAACACTGAATGTGAGGAAACCTGAACAGTCCAGTGCCAGCAGGCAGGGCAGGAACACAGTGCAGGCAACAGGAGCACCGCTGGGCTGGGGCACTGACACAGATAGGTTGTGGGGTGCTGGGCATGGGGTCGTGCTGAGAGTAACAGGCACGATGCACAACCATGCAACAGAAAATGGCACAGAGAGGGAAAAGAGCCCCAGACAGTACCTAAATTTAGTTTACATTTGGGTTGAGTAGGGTGGCAACCGTTTGCTTAAAATGGTAAGCACTGAAATTAAATCATGGCTCCTCAGTTCTACTAGTGATATGTCTACTGCTTGACAAAAAGGACTGCATCATGCCTGTCCCAGCAAACAGGAACTTAATACAGGTATGCATTATAAATGAGATAGGTGAGGGAGCAGAAGGAAGAGAGAGGCAGATTGCCTGTAGAAAAGTTAAATGACAGAGCCAAAAGGTCCAATCCAAGCAAAATCCCCTAAGCAAAACATTCACTCTCTCCTTGTAATGGTTTACTGGTGTGCTTGGCAGGGTCTCAAAGCTCCAAAATCAACCTTCAAACCATGAAAACCATTCCCTGGCCCTCCCCAAAATGGAACAACAGCCTCAAAGAACGAGAGTGGTGGCTGGAAAAAACATCACATTCCCAGTTCCCAGAAACTCTCTTGGCTCTTTGGATGTACATAAACTACCAGGGACCTCTGAATGACAGTAACAGAAGCGAGAGCAAAATCCTGGCCTTGTTAAAGTCAATGGGAGGTCTGCCATTGCTTGCACAGAGCCAGGATTTCAAATCCGTGTTTTGGTCACCGCCTCTTCTGTCAACAGGATCTGGAGACCATTTTCATTTATCCAGCAAACAAAAGTTGCGGAGAGACAGATACATTAACTAAGATGTCCACATTAAAGGTATCTTCAAAAACTTCCTATCTCCATATAAACAGATTAAGAGCTGGCCATGGCATAAAAGAATGCTTTAGCCTGAAGATTAACAAAGGGTCAAAGCAGTATGCTTCAAAATCTGTCAGGATCCAAGTCCAACAGGTCCTTGAGTGTGAAGACATGAAAATGTATGGTACAACCAAGTCATCTGGCATGAAAGGATGACTAATCCTTAAAATTTACAAAAACAAACAGTAATTAAGACACCTTCATCACCACAGACAAAGAGACCCAGCAATCACAGAACAGCTTTCAGATCTGCCATGCTTATTACAACTGTTGGAATAAATCAGCTTTATTGAAACTTACACACAACAAAAAACATTTTGAAGTCTGTCCCTGTTTTGCTTTGTTTGCCAAACTGAAAGTTAGATGAGTTAGTCTCTGTGGCTACTTGGTATCAAACAACATTAGAAAAAAAGAGCAAAGAAGGTGATGCTTTGAATGATAGGATCACAAAGAATTCAAGAAGCAGTTTCTATCTCTGGGTTTTCAGTACACTGTAGCTACAGTACAATCCAGCATATGTTTCACTGCCCTACTTCATGCGAGGCAAGTTGAAGGAATGATGCTTTTTAGTATGCTGTGAACATTAAAACTGCAGCAGCACACACAAGAGTTAAATTGCCATGCTTGTGTCATCTCCTAGCACCTGCTGCCAATTAATGCTAATCTAAAACGATAAAGGCTGCAGGTCAGATTTTCAGTGGCTATAAACAGGGATGGCTATGCTAATAGTGTGGGATTTGGCCTTTTGTTACTGTCTGTTTTCTGCTTCATATTTTTGTCCCTGGTGTTTATCTTGCACACTTACTGCCACATGTAATACCAACTGCTTTGATGGCCAGTCCTCAGCAAACCACTCATACCAACATCAGCTTCTTCTTCTTGTCATTAATGCAACAGAACTAAAAACCACAACCTCAAATCCCTCCAGAACTGAAGATTACTATATAAGGACTAAGAGGGAGAAAGAAGACAACAGACTAGCTTGGATAAGTGGTGTGTAACCAATGGTACCGTACTTGATTCACAGCAGAGCCTGTGTATCATTCTACAGTATGGTGTGGTGGTTAGGTTAAAATGAAAATAAAATCTGAAAAACATATGTGGCCCTATGAAATGTCATGGAAACACCTCTCCTAGAGCTTCTGCAGGAGAGAGATCAATGAATGACAGTGGGATGAAAACAGCACTGAAAGCAGCAGCATCCAGAACTGCCCTAGCACACAGCTGACAGTTACCACGGGATGGAGCTTGCATGGAAATCTCAGCGTAGAAACTTCCTCACAACACACAGAGCAGCAAAGCTCATGAAGCTGATGGCTAAATACAGGATGGGAAATAAAACCAAAAACGACGGACTGAGGGCACTGCCTGGGATTAATCATTTCTCCCATATTCCAGCACCTCACAACTCCTTCTATACCGCCCTCAGGTCTGCGAGGAAGACGGAGGCCTGCAGGGCATAAAGGCACTGGAGGGGCTCAGCAGGGACCTGCCAAGTCCCTGCATGCTGCAGGGATGGCAGGATGGGCACAGTGCCCACCAGGAGACGTGCTGCCAGCTGAGCAGCACTGCCCCATGCACGGAGGCGGGCCGCCCCACAGCCTGGCTGCCACTCCATTAAAACTCCATTTGCAGGGCACTCTGCCAGCCCAATCCCCAAGGGAAGCTCTGTGCATGGACACTCGGGGATTGCTCTCCTTGCACGGAGCGAGGCGCCGGGTGCTGCCACTGCTGTGGGAATGGGGGAAGCCCAGGCAGGGCAGCCCTATCACCGTGCCATGGCAGCAGGATGCTGGGAATGCAGCCCCCAAAGGCACGAGAGGCTGAGATTGCTGTGGGGCATGTTGGGAAGATGCTAAAACACTTCACTTGGTTTGGACTGGGGCTTCCCTTGTTTCTTCCGTTCCTAAATTGACCTTCGGTCTCCCTGTCAGCTGGTCCTGCCTGCCACCAGCAGTAATCTTCTGTTAGGTCACAGCTAAAATCAAAGTGCTGCTTACCCTACTGATAGAAGGGGTCACTGAGGAAAAACGTCCTTAAGGCTGCAGACATGACACACAGCCATTTCACGTGCACACACCACTGGGTACTGGGCAGCTCTGCTGAATACCTCCTGTGTTTTTGTCCTTCCCTTCACAACCTCTCAGCAGCACCCAAGTGACAGCTGAGGAGCAGCATCCCCTCTCTCCAGCTCCCTTTCCCCTGTATTAATTTACTGTATGAACATACTAGGTTAAATTTCCTCCATCAGCTCAGTGCTGAATACTCAGAAATGGCTGAAGTTGTTGTGGCTATGGCCCAAGGAAAAGCAGAAAGAAGAGCTGAGGTGATTTATGTCATTTCTGTGTTTAGAAATGAGCATTGCTGCAAACAACAGTAATACTCAGCTTGGCTACTCATCATTGTAAGCAGGATTTGCTCTGCAATATTAACTGTTTTCTGCCACTCTGACCAAAAATGTGAATAATAATTGTGCTGAATATTACAAGAAACATCCTGGCAAGACTCAGTTCAGAAACCCCAAAATAAATTGCAGTTCTGTACTTGGTAAATACGTGATCTTACTGTGCAGAAGCAACAGAATCTGCACATGTTGCTGAAATGCTTTTGCAGACAGAAGAAGAAATATATCTGTAACAGATAACAACACCCCTCCTCACCAATCCTTGTTACCATTTCTCTGTCAGAAGGATAGAACTGCAACTTGTTCCTTCCTATCAAAGGGCAACTCCCAGCCAGGTACTTCATCTCAATCAGATTGCTGCAGTGCTGTTACAGGTACAGCGTGCTGAGCAGAGCTCTTTAGGACCAGAAGCTGAGCTCTCTGGAGTTCCCCATGTCACAGGGCAGGGGACCCTCCCTTCCACTGCTCCACCCAACAAAGGGGAAACCTCAGAGAACTTGTTTTGGGGAAGTCATGTCACCAACCCACACCACCAACACCCCTGGCTTGCAGTCTCCCTGCAGCTCCAGTTCCATGAGCCCAGTAGCAGTATGCTGGCCACCTGAACATGGCTCTGTGAAGGCTAAGTGAAGACATTCTGAAACCCTATAGCCTTCAAGTCGTGTCCCCAAGAAAGGAATGCCCCAGTACAAGCCCCTCCGCTTCTCCTCTCACACTGCTTCAGCTGTTTCTTAACCTTGAATACAGAGGCCCTCAGTAAAACAAAGAAAACACCCTCTGCTTCAGCCTGTTAGATGATGCAAACCCACTTGCTGACCTTTCTGGGTGAACATTTCTCTAGTGTGAATGGGCCAGCTATGATCTCACTACCTTGTCAATGAAGAGGAAGTGGGGAAAGCCTTTTCAATGTTTAATCAAAAGAGGGCTTTTATGCAGTCTGACATCAGGGGAAAATACAAGACAGCTTTCCAACCACATTGTAGAACAGCTGAGAGGCTCTCCAGAACTCTCCCCCTACCTTTCCAGCGACACTTACTCTGGGCCAGCTACTTAATGGCATGAGCAGACATTCAGCTCAGAACGTCAGATTGACAAAAAGCTCATAAAACCATCAATTATATCAAAGCTACAAGAGGATATGACTCTGGAGGGCATAAATATGGATCCTGTTCAGAGATTTCTGGTGTGACAGTGGGGTCAGCCTACAACCTTTACAATGAACATCCTGTTCCTGCTTGACCTCTTGTCCTCCTCCCTCCCCTCCCCCTTCTACTTAATGACTATTTGGAGCAGTCTTGGAGTTTTGGGGGGAAAAAAATGTCCTCCAAAGCTGACTGACGTATATTGATATCGCTGGTGGCAATATATTTACACAGCCACAAAGAGCAGCTGCTCAGCTGAGACTACTTTTAGCTTGCGCCCTATTAAAATGAATGCAAATCTAAAAGCACTCAAAGCATTATCAGAGCACTGAGTGCAAGACTCTGTGTGCTGGGAAGCAGCCCCAGCAGTGACATCCCACCAAGGTGCTGCCAGTTACAGGCTGCATCCTTGAGGCTTCTAGGGAGCCCCTGGGGTCCCTGAGCAACTGAGGACTGCAGTTTCTCTCCCCCATGCACTGCAGGGACAGGTCACAAGAACAGGGCTACTCAGTCCTACCACAAACACCAACACGGTTCACAGTACACAGGACAACTCCTTGCTGGCCACCTCCAACTGCTTTATATCTATTACTTGCAACACAAAATTAATTGGAAGCTGAACCAAACCCGAACAGTAACAGCACTAGATATAACACTGAAGCACTTAGCTGTTCAGCTCCTATTACAACTATAATGCTCCAACTTCTTTGGTTTGCACTCAGCTCTTAGATATGATTCCAGTTTTTTCCCTCATTTTTCATCGTTGCTGCAAAGCCCCCACACAGGACAAGCAGACAAGCAGCAAGCAAGTGCAAATAGAATTGCTTTTGTAAAAAGTGAGGAAATCTCTTCAGACGTTTCTCCAGCTTATCTGGATGTGAAAACATTTTTCAGATGCTCAGAAAAGAAGTCCTGCTCAGATGCCTGCCTGCGTGCATGAAAAAACTCCACATCAACCCAGATGCCACACTTTGTGTTTACAACATACGTGGGTTAACAGCACCTTCCTCAAGAAGAAATCCATTCCAAGTAGAGAGATCAGAGTGTTGTACTGGGCAATTTTATGTTCAAGAACATGGGTTGGTTTCTTTCTTTCTTTTTTTTTTAAAAAAAACAAATTCTGCTCTTAAAATACTCAAAGCAACACGAACTCAGAGCTTTAGCAGTGTAAGTGCTAAGTCTAATCTCCTACATGCAGATGTAAATCAACATTACTTGTTTAAACACTGATAAAAATTAGAACAGAGTGAAACCTAATGAACACAAGAAATATTTCACATAGTATTTACTGGAAAATTGCAACAGGGATTTTGTCTAATGAGTAAATACAGCATGAAGCCGCTGAGTCTTCTATCCCTGGGGTAAGATAATTTGAAACACATTTTTTTCAGATCAAAAGTGTTATGTTGTCAAATATAAAAGCCCAATTTAGGCTGCATAATATTTAATTAAGAAAACAGCATTCCACACTGAGATGTTGTTTTTTGTTGTTTTTTTGTTGTTGTTGTTGGTTTTTGTTTTTTTAAGTCCAATGCCCCTTGAGTCATTTTAACTTCCTAACTGTAAGATTCGCACAGTGCGAGATCATGGGAAAGACACAATCAACTTTATTTTCATTACTAAGAGAAGAAAAAACCTGAAGGGAACCCTGTGGAAACCAAATCCAAACCCAGGATTTTCCAGCAATCATGCCATTTGAAAAGGCCCTTGGCTCACTCAACCAGAGAGGAGCATAGCAGCCAGCCCCTTTGCTAAGAGGATGGGTATTAAAGATCGAGATCATGCAGAACAGGCCACGACACCTGAAGTTCCTACACTTATGAGGAGGTTCTCAGGGCTCTACAGCCCCGCTCTGCTCACCTTGACACTTCTGTGATGTATCCGTGAGGGCTGGCATTTCACACTGCTGGTGTTGCAGCAGCCAGTGCAGCGCTTCACCTCCACGCACGGCGGCCATATCAGGAAGTTGGCCGAGGTGGGATCAATCTGACTCCGAGGTATCTCATATATCACCGTCCGTGTTTTGCAGACAGCCGGGATGGCTTCCTCTGTGAACAGAAGAAATGCACGCTTCCAGGTGAACAGCTGCTCTCACCTCAGAGCACCCACCTAGCGCACACTGCCTATTTATGAGCGGCATCCTTAGCCCGGGGCGAGGCAGTTCTCAGCACCCAGCACTTCCCAACACGCCGGTGCCGAGCACTGTTTGCCTACCACTGCACTGTGGGTGCTGCCCTGGGGGAAAGCTGGACTTGCTCCCAAAAACCCAGCCCTAAAATGCATGATGACAAAGGCTCAGCTCCCAGCAAGCTCAGAGTATATATATATCACTAGGTAAGGCAATCCTGGCTCTTTAGAAGTGACAGCAAGAGGCTTCTCTGCCTTAGCCAGTTCTCCCATACAGCCTCATAGCAACTGCTGAACAGCAGCTGTTATTTTATAGTATTGGGGCAATCACTGCTCACATATATTATCACACCAACATGCAGTACCTGGCAAAGGCAGCCACAGAAGCTGCACTGAGGGTATTTTTAATCACACTCAAATTGGCTGAGCTGGGAAACAACCCGTGCCAGCTTGAAGCTTCTGAGTCTTGAGTTTCCACTTCCACAACCTTAACATCCTCATATGGACTCTGGTCCACACGCCATCAGTGGGCAACAGCCATTTTGTTCTAATTGAAAGTTCTGTGCAAAGTTCTGTGGTTTTATTTTATCTGTTATTTTTGAATAAGGCAAAACCACAAGAGTAGCGTGACTGAGGAACCTGCAGTGTCATTTTCAGCTGAACAAGTTCACTTCTAGGTTCAGGTAAGGTGAGCTTGTCGCTGGCAGCTTCAGCCACACGAGGACCAGAACAAGAGGAATCATAGAATCATAGATTGTTTGAGTTGGAAGGAACCTTTAAAGGTCATCCAGTCCAACTCCCCTGCAACAAGCAGGGACACCCTCAGCTCCGTCCCACTGCACTGCGTGATTGCTGTTGTGAGAAATCCAAACCCCGCATCGTTCTCAACCCAGGGACTGCCTAGGAAGTCAAACCGGTAATTTAAAACGGTCCAGAAAATAATAGCAATCTCAGGGATAGCTCATTTGGTGGTCAGCTCTCTGAAGGCAGCTTGGATGTTTTGCCTTTGAGTGGAAGCAGTGATAGCTTCGGGTCATACGGGGCAGGGAACTGTAATTCTGCCTGCACTTCTTCAGTTACTCCTGAAGCACAAGAAGTTCAGGCTTGGCCTGCACTGTAACATGAAAATCCAGGCCTGGCTTTTAAAGAGGTATGTTTTGGTCATCTGAACAGAGTGAAAATTCTTCTTCTCAATCCCCAGTGCCACGAACTTGACAAAATTAAAGGGTCCAATATAGCAAGGTAGCTGGCAACTCCTCCACGTTATTGAGCATACGCAGTTCCCACTGACTGCTATGGAGAGGTATCCAACACCCAGCAGAGCAAGGTGCCAAGTGCAGCAGACTGTTTCAGAACCGCTGCTCTCCAGAGGCATTCAGTGTGACGAGCATCTTGCCAATTCCCACTGCAAATCCATGCCGACAGCATGCTGTGCTACCCACTGCGGGCAGCCACAGCTCCGTGTTAGAATGCACTGACTCTGAATTACCCTAAATAGATAAGAACGTGGATGCTTTCCACCACCAAGTAAAATGGTCAAACAGGTCTAATCAGATGAACAAGCGCTGCTTACAAAAACCGCCCTCACATTCCTCAGCATCCATTTAACGGGGGATCTGGACTTGACTGGATTGCCTTCATTAGTGTTTAATGAGAAAAAAATCCCCTGTAAACATGCCTGGTGCTCAACACAACGACGAAATGAATGTCCCAGTGTTTCCATCAATGGCTTTTAATTTTTCGGATAAACTGTTTTTTCCTTTTGAATAAAGAGTCAAGCTGTTTCCTTTCGTGGAGCTTCTGTACTGAAAACCCTACCAACTGTTGATGTTTTTTTTAAAGCAAACGGCTGTAGCTGTTCCCCACACTATGAATTATACATTGAATATCACAGCGTTTTCTAACCAAGGTCTAGCTTTGTAACATGCTGCAACAGGAAAGTGAATGTAAAGAATTTGTGCTCGTCTGTCTGCTACGGCCAGCCTCCACAAGACAGATTCTCAGGCAGCAGCCCATTTTGTGCAAACAGAAAAGCAGAAGCTAGAAATGGCCTTTTTTCCTTTTTGTGCACATCCCATTCTTCCAGTGAAACGCCCTGCTTGGCTGACCAAAAACACCCCTCTGTTCTTCCTCCCCGAGTACAAACAGCTTGTTTCTTACCAATGCTTCTTTTTCTGCGAATGGGCACAGGACGGTTCTCTTGCACATGTTTAGCAGAATGAACACTATAAGACCTCAAGTTTGCCTCTGAAACATCATCATATCCTGAAAGAGGAAACAAAGTATTAAACCTCAGCACCGTTATTAGCAGGAAAGCTGCTAACAGTGCTGTTCCATACATATAAAACTGCACAAGTCCAAATTGTGCTGCAATTAATCAAACGTAATTCCTATCAACACAAGGGTATAAGGCAGGGAAGACATAAACATGAAATGCCACATGTAAGTATGCACAGCACAATTCTGACACCCGTTTTACTGAAAGCCCCCCCCAAAGCATGCACTCTGTGATACAGAACTGCATCTAAAGCAAAACACATGCACTTGTTACGTGAAAGGCAGAGTAAAACTTCTCTTACTGGAAAGGTGTAGAAATAAGATCAACAGTATTTCATAGGAAATGTTTCTTAGGAGAAGTTTAGTGAACTCTGGCATGAGGCTACAGTAGAAAACAGTGCTACACACCCAACAGCAACAATGCTGCCTCTGTACATTTTCTCTAGCTTGGTTTCCACGACTGTACCGGGACAGAATCAAAAGCACAAATAACTAGCGTGGCTTTCCTTTTAGCCTCTCCATTGCAGAACAAATCCCCTGTGAAGTATCCTAACCTTTGGAGGGGCATCTGAAGCTACTGCAAACTCTGGGACTGCATCCAGGCTCGTCTTGTTCCCTAAATAAGCCTACCACATGGGTTAAAGGGCCATGAGAAAAAGCAAAGACTGAAAACTTGGCATTTAATTTATCATTAGAAAAACAACAAAATAACTGCTACAACTATTTGGTTTTGTTAAATGAAGCAGTCCAGGTCGTGTCCCATGCAGTGGGGTTCTGAAAACAGCAAGCACAGTCTGCAAACAGTGGGTCAGGCAGACGTAAGCATGCTGAGGACTGCGTGCAGAGTTCAGTACAGCAAACTAAGATATTTAGCACTCTGCTTCTTGGAGTGCCCTCCATAATGTCAATGGACAGTTTCAAGGTTTTGCTGCCGGTTCCAAAGAAAACAGCCAAATACACCAAAAAAATGTAAATGGTTTGTACTCAGTTACGCTCTCTCCATGTCAGCAATGCCTACATCCCTCTGTCTTCTGCACTGTCACGCTCCCTGCTTTCAGTTCACCTTGCATGCACAGCTGCCTGTGACTCTGCAAGCAGCTTTGACCTCTGCTTTATTAGTAACAGTCTCCCTGAGGGCATGCCCTACACGTAAACCTGCTTCTTCTCTTCAGCCTCCAAGAAATCCTGCCCTAAAGAGATGCAACTCATGGAATAACCTGCAGAGCTGGCTAAGACATGAAGACAAATGTCTCCAACACCTTAAGAAGAGCTCTATGCCTGAGCATATACCATCACTATTTGGAAAACAGTACTGTATGTAACTGAAACAAGATTAAATGAGAGTAAAAAAAAAAAAATAGGGCCAGGAAGCCCCATCAATCCGCTTTTCCTCATCAGCAGAACAGATCCTTGTCTGAAATAAGTCGGTGTGAAATCCAGAGTTTCAATCTACCAGATAAGTAGGCTCCTTCCACCAATGCAGAGCACTTGCTTCCCATTGACTGCAGTGAGAAATTTTGGAACCGAACAGATTAGCTGACTATGGGCCTTATTTGCAATCCCAGCCCTGTAATGTAACATAGCAATGACTAATGCATTTTATTTCTGCTTTTATTGCACCCCATACTCCACAAAATTCATCTGTGGGGTAAACAGAATGGCTTGCCTGAGATCCCACAGGAAGTTTGCAACTGCGCTGGGGAACAGAGCCAGGTCTCCTGCATCCCATTCCAATGGCAGCGAGCCATCCACCTGACCCCAAATGCTGTTATGCAAAATGAGGATCCGTTCTGATCTTCCTCCAGCCTTTTTCTGCTTCCTAACGCCCAGCCACCCAACACCTTAATGCTGACGTCCTTCTTGGCAAGTTCAGGTTGTCACAGCCTCTCCCTCGCTTTGAGGCAATGAAGAGATACTCAGAAGAAAGCAGCAGGAACGCTGCTCAGTGCGAGATCTAAGCAAGGCTCAGAGCAAGAAGCATCTCTGTGCGCACTCAAACAGAGTTTAAAAAGGATTAAAGACAACACTAATGCTGCTAACCCTAACTGCTCAGTGGGCATAGCCATCTTGCTGAAAAGAGAAGCTGCCAGTGATGCCAGCCTAAGCCACAGGTCCTAATGCTTTATTCAACACGCTGCCATAGCTTCCTTTTAGCATGACTGATTCCTTGCTTTCTTGTTTAAAGAAAAGAGTAAGACTAAAGGAATAGTATGATCAGTTAACCAATATGTTTAGCCATGTGCTTATATCTAACTGCTCAACTCAGCTGCAATTAGCCATATTCCATCATCATGTTTATAAAGCAAAATGACATGTCGAGGAGCATGTGTTGCTTATAAGACGACTCCTAAGGTGAAGAAGGCCTCTGGCTCATGCTGCATCTCACTGTCTCACTACATATCTTAGGCATGTATATCATTTTGTAAGTTCACATCTCGTTGTGGTGGTTAAAAAGAAAAAATTTAAGCAGCTAGCACAGCAAAGTGCCAAACAAGTTCCAGTCAAACCCCAATGCATTATGCAACACAAATTGTATTATTTCTATCGCCAAAGCAACGATGCTGCTTTTTTTTCTTTAATAAATAGCATTAAGGAGCACATGGTTGGTGTCAGACAACACTGTAATGCTAAAGGCACTCCTTCTCCTCTTGACCCCCACTGGCATTTCAGAGCAGTTCCATTTCCCAATGAAGCCCAAAGAAAAATCACTGCACTGAAAAATCAGAAAGACAGTTTTGGATTCCATATATCACTCTAAACAGGCAGACAGAAGATTTTATTGCACTTCATTAAAACAACAATGCCACAGTAATTACAAATGACTCTCTCCAGTCTGACTTTAAAGAAACCCAATGCCTAATCTACAACCTGCCAGAAAGATTCCTCAACAAATCACACCTTAATTTGTATCAGTTTTTTCCACCGATGTATTGACTTGGGAACATGAAGTTGCAGGACAAGGTCTTCCAGCTCTTAGCAAAGAAAATGGAGGTTTATGGGTGCTGAGCACCTCACAAAAAGGGCCTGAGAGCAGAAAGCTCAGGAATGGGCAGTTAGTTCTTCGCTTAGAAATTGAACGCTGCTTGTCACTAAGCAAAGATGGAGGATGCTGCACTGTGCCAGATTAATTAAGTTCTTTTTTAACATTTTAATAATAAAAAAAAATGCTTTTCATGGCAGCTGATCAAGAAATTTCTCCGTAATCTCTCACGTACTGACAACATGTCAATGCTGGGTAGAAAAACTCTTGCAATCAGCTTTGGTCAATCCATTAGTGTAGCTGAAATTGTTCTTTTTTGTCAGCCTGGCATTTTTCCACGAGGTCATGGAGTATAAATCACAGAGCTCCTGCGACACTCTGCCAATACGTGATTACTCTTCTCCCAAAAAAAGCAAGTGGAAAGCATCCTGAGACTACTGTTACTTTATATTTGTCATTTTATATTTTCACATTGCCATCTCCTTCCTGAGCAACTTTATGTGCGAGGTACAGTCACCAACATAAGCAGCCCTAACACGAACCCTTCTAGATGTCACTTGGATGCACATCCAAGAAGAGTAGGTCCAAGATTTCTAGTACCAACTGCAGGAGCTGGGGAAATTCTCAGCCTCCCTGCTTCCAGGAATTTGGTGTAAGGTACAATAAAGCGAGATGGTCTGTCTTACAAATCGGTCCTAGAGCCAGAAAGCCCAAGGCAACGTCAATCTGTTTGATCTCCTTTCTGACTGATGCAAAATATGCCCTCCTGACATTCAAATGCAGGAATAGAGGCCATTAAGTTTTCAACTTTGATCTGTTAAAGGAAATGTAAGTAGCAGCCTGCAAGGTCCTGTTTTGTTTAGGTTGGTTTTTTCCTCTTCTTCGATGGGATCTGCCAACTGTAAGGGAAGAGGAGATCCTCCACCTGCCTCAGAGAAGCGCAGGAGGCAGACGCCCGCCTCTCATCATGCTTAAGAGGTGCAAGGCAAGCTAACATCACATTGTAACATCTCTAATTGGTGCACCACCCCAAAAGCCACAAAGTCAACAGAAGGTTTTCCAATAGACTGAGCACTGGGACACAGCCCACAAACCCTTCGTTTAGAAGTTCCTCCATCAGCACAGAGCTGCTCTGCCAGTTCTTACTCACGGGCCGCTCCATTCGCGTGGCCTAAGCTGACCCTGCGGTTGATGCCCTTAAACCATGCAGCGAAACACACTCAGCCCAGCTTCCCCAGGCAGGGAGAGGACTGGGGAAGTCTGTTCCCAGCAGGAGGCAAACATAAGAGGTGATGAAATGAGCTCTGCCTCCCACAGGACAGATGGGAGAGGTGAAGCGCGAGGAGAGAAACCACGCTGCAAAGCCAAGGGGAGCTTTCAGAGGCGGAATGTAGGAAATGCCCCCGTTTTGGTGAGTTAGTCTGCTAGTAGTAAATCTGAACTCCGCACGCTGCAGCTGCCTACTTCCTGGGAGCGTGTGTGCTTTCTGTTTTAAATAAGGTCAGCTGCTGCTCTCCATCGTGCCAACGAACGCCCAGCACTGACTCACATCCCAGTATTAACTCAACATACAAGGCTGTTTTCTGACGTGAACGCAGCGTTTTCGTGCTGCCTTTGCAGGGGTTTCTCCTCAGATCGGACATGCAGCACCAGGCTCTGACAAACTGGCCCGGATTGTCTTTTTGTGAAAACAATGATAAGCTCCATGTTGGGTAGTGTTTTTCTTTAAGTAATACGACAGATGGTCTGGGGGTGTCGTTTCTAATTTTATGAAGGGGGTTATCAGTCATCTCTGCGCTACAATATAGCGACCAAATCTGTCAGAATACAAGAAAAGCCTGCCCACTCTGACTTACAAAACTTACTTTCCCAATTAAAAATGCATGCTTTGCATGGCAGGAAAGAAAACGACTCTTCTTCCTTCGTTTTCCACAAGATTCTGCCTCGTTACTCAGTAATATCAGACATTTTCTGCATGCGTGCCCCATCCTGCAAACACTTCCCGTAGAAGATCATTCTTAATTCTCAAGTCCACCCACTGAGTTTAAACAGGGCTACTCGCATGCAGAAGGGCTGGCAGCACCATGCACTGAAACGAAGGAGCAGATATCTGCTGGAGTGTTTAATTCTGTTCCTTGAGTCAAATCAGTACGTGCCATAAAGGAGAAATACAGCTACTGCACAGGCCCTCACCAAACCAGACCTTCCCTAAACGCAACGACAGCCCTAAAGAAATACACACATTTCAGAAAGATCATCTCACCAACAGCATTCAAAACACAGCTGATCTGCTAAGCCAAGCCTGTATTACAGACAGTAAACAGGCCCAATCCTGTTAGCTGAAGAAAACACGGTAATTCCAATGTTGGATTAGTCACTCTGATAACCCCTCAGTAGGCATTACTCACGGCAGCAGAGACCGTGCCCAGAAAGCATACAGGCAGGTAGGAAGGAGCAGCGACTGCCTGTGGAGATCCAACCCTGCCTATGCAGCTCAGCATGTGTGCAAACAGAGCAGACACAGGCTGAAAGGCCGAATATTTTATTTTTTAATATTGTTTTGAGTTCACGTCTTAAGGCATTACCATTTCACAGTGAAATAGTGAAATATGCATGCCTCGTTTCTCTAATGGTTTCTAAATTGACACGTTGCATGGAAACAGCAGAACGAAGCTGTAAACTCGCGGCTGACCTCTTCAGTTTTTGGTCACACATCCTCTGGTTAATATTTGCCACGAGGTAAATAATTCTTTCCTGAAATACATTTCTCTCCCCTGCTACACGCACTGATGGATTCAGCTCCCGCCACCACTTGTCTGCTTGCCTCAGTGGAGCCCTGTGAACTTTTGCTCTCTTTTAAAAATGAAGCACGGCCTATCTGCAAATGCAGATGTACTCTGGTAGCTACAGAGCACTGACTTAAATACGGCATTCCAAAACCCCAGCGCTCAGCTCCAGCCCTTCTGCAGCACGGCCCTCCTCTGATTTCAGCAGTAGCACACTTGTCTGGTCCAAAGCAGCATTCAGTGGGGAGATGTGCACTGCATCCCCCTCCTCCGCTGTGAAAGCTTCAACTGCACTGATGATGGAGCACTGCTCTCCAAAAATACTAAAGCAATGCCAACAGATTTGGTAATTACTAATTGGTCTCTACGGTAAAGTACTGCGCCAAGAAAGAAACACTCTCATTTTCAGTATAATGGGAAACTCTGCTCCCTAATCACGTGAAAATTGAAAGCTATGTCTGTAAGACACCTTCCAAGCGTGCTGTCCTCCTGCTCCTTAACGCAGCGCTACACCAAAGGCGATGAGTTGCACTCTAGAAGGATCCTGCAACTCTGAATGAAGGTGACTGAACCTGGCACAGCCCTTACAAAAACACACAGCATATGGTTTAGAAAGAGATGGCCCCGTACCAACGCAAGCAAGAACTCATTCATTTCTCTCCATGTTTGCTCCTCAGAGCGATGCGGGTTTCCCTTGGGCACATCAAAGGCATCGGGTTTATTCTCTCACAACTAAGGCACAAAATCACCAGGAGCAAAGTGCATCCAGTGAAACCAACGATAAGCCAGCCGGCAGTCCTGCACCGCTCCGCCTGATTTACTGCTGCAACGATCTGTTTGAACTGCACGTTCTCACTACACCCATTTGCATGCCTAATGATGCAGAAAATAACCCCGCGCTGTTTTCTTTTGGGGAAAGTGTATTTGTCAGGGTGAGCTCCATGCACAGGTTCCTGCTCAAAATCAGCGCGGACCGTTTATTTTCCTTTTAATAAAGCCCAGCACTTGAAGAGACATTACTTCATTCATAAATATTGTTTCAAATATTTTAAATACCTCTAGGACAGTAGTTTAAAGATAACAGAGCAATGCAAGAACAACAGCAACCCTTACGGAAATTCTTCTCCGCCGAGAGACGGAGAACTCTGAAAACACTGAGGGTCACCGGGTCCCTCTCCACCCCGAACCCCACGAAGTTTGAACTCCCGAGCGGCCCCGTGGCCGCCGCCTCCCTCGGCAGCGCAGCTCCCCGCGCGGAGCGGAGCGGTGCCTCCCCCCGGGGCGGCGGCGGCCGCCGGCGCGGAAGGAAGGAGGACGGGACTAATTTACCTACGGAGTCAATCTCCAGGAGGCGCTGCAAGTCGCGGATGCTGTGGATCTCGCTGTGCGCCAGCCGCTCGATCAGCTCCTGCGGGATCTCGGCCTCCTTCAAAGACACACACACACACACACCGCGGGTCAGCGCGCAGCCCCGCGCGGCGCTCCGCGGCCGGGGGATGGGCACGGGGATTCCAAGAGGACGCGGGGTGCCGCGGGGCGCGTTTGGATCGAGCGGGGGAAAGATTCGCCCCCGGCTCCGCCGCCTGCCGGAGCGCACCCGCGGGGCTGCGCCACGGCTCGGCCGAGCACCTCGGCGCGGTTGGGCTCTGGGCTGCCGGGCTCGGTGCCCGCCGGAACCGCGCCGCTTCTCCCCGAGCCTCCCCGGCCCCCTCTGGGAGCCCACCCGCAGAGCCGCCCGCAGAAGTTTGCCCGAACGGGTTGAAAGTTCGCGGCGGTCCCGGCTCTACCGGAGCGGGGAGGGTACCGCAGCCCCTGGGCCGGGAAAAGTTGGAGCCGCCCCGCAGCGCCGAGCGGCGCGCAGCCCCCGCCCGACGGCACCTGTAGCAAAGCCCGGGACGCGGCCTCGCCGATCGGCCCCCCCCGGGCCTCAACCCCCGATCTGCGCTCAGCTCGGGGTCCGCACCCAACCCGTGCCCGCACCCCGCTCGTGCCGTTCCCGCAGCGCTGCCGGCTGCGCTGCGCGCTGCGCTGTGCGCCGCGGGGGCGGCCGCTGCCGGGCGGCTCCGCTCCCGCTCTGTTTGCAAATAACCGCAGCCCGTTTGTACCCGGGGGGCGTGAATCTCTCTATTATATATCCTATAAACATGTGGGTACGCATATATATCTATATTATTTTTTTCAAGCGCAGCCAACAGCCCCGGAGCGGAATGCACGGTCATTCCCCGTGCCGATGGCACGCACGAAATGGCAACTTGCTTTCTGCCTCGCGGGGCTGGGCGGGTGCCTCCGGCCGGGCCGAGGCGCGGGGATGCCCGCGGGCCCCAGGTGGGCACAGCCGCAGCCCTTCCCCGCCCCGAGCCCCGGCTGCGGCGTCCCCCCGGGCACCGAGAACGCGGCGAAGCTCTCGCACCTACCTCGCAGGAGGTAAAGGACAGGTAGCCAAAACCTATCAGCAAAACGCAAGCCCAGGTCCTCATCGCGGTCTAGTGCACTTTAGATACGGAGGGAAGGCAACGCTGATGGAGAGGAGCTGCAGGCCGGCTCCTGCCGCGCAGAAATTCAGTACCATCCCTCAGGGGAAAGGCAGCGGGGTGGCTTCGGGGGTCCTCCGCATCCAGGGTGGCTCGGGGCTGCCTCGGCGTGGCGGTGCTGGAATTACGGCGCTGCCGCTGTTTGTACGTTCCCCTCCAACGGGAGCGCGGCCGCTCTCCTTTCTGCCGCTCTCGCTCGCTCCTCTTGGCTCTAAGGACTAGACCAGCCGGTACTTCTGCATATTTGCTTAGATCAGACCAAAGTGAAACCCAAGGAGTCGATCCGGAGCGCAGCCGAAACGCCCATCACCTGTGTGGGGCGGCTCGCCCCCCTGGCGGGCGGCGCTGGGTCCCGCCTCCCCCCGCGGCCGCTCTGCGCCGGGACCGGCGGAGCTTTGGATTTGCCGGCGTCTCCCCCCGCCCCGCCGGGCCGCACTGCACCCTCTCCCCGCTTTTTTTCTCGCAAAAAGGGCGAAAAATAAAATTACTGATACGGATCGAAACGTTTCTCTCTCTGAGAACAGTCCGTTCGGGGTTGAGATTTAAAAAAGGGAATTAATTAACAAATAATAGCAGCGATAAATCGGAGCAATACTGCGAGATCTCGAGGGCTGCCTTGGTGCAGTTCCTTCCTCACTTTGCACGGGAGAAAAAGGAAAAAAAAAAAAAAAAAAAAAAGAAAAAAAAAAAGAGGAGGAAGGAAAAAAATTTATATATATATGTATATATATAAATATAATCTGTCTCTACGCAAGAAGATTTAAATCCCACGGGGAGCAGAGACGAACTGCAACTCCGGGCGGAGGGCGCACTCCGGACTCGCAGCAGCCGGGCCTGTCTGCAGCGTGCGGCCGCCGGAGCGGCATTTAGCGCTGCGCGCTGCCAGGCGCCTCCCCCGCCCCTCCTCCCGGTACCCAGCCCCACCAACAAGTCGTGGCGTGGGGGCCGCCGGCAGCTGCAGCCTTGGGAGAGGGGTCTGCCCACATGCAAAAAGAGAGGGGGGGCGAGAGGGAACGACGGGGAGGAAAAAAAAAGAAAAGGAGCCGGAACAGTGCCGGGGGTTGCGGGGCTCTCTGCGGCATCGGGGCGGGGGAGCTGCTGCGCAACAGCCGCCGTAACCTGACGGGATCCACCTTGTGCCCCCGCTGCCTTTTATATAAGGCGAAGAGATCGCCATGATCGCGGAGGGCTTGGGGTTATTTTTATTTGGGGGAGGCTCGCCTTTGGCAGAAGGGGAGGGGCAGGGTGGCAGTGGATTGGGGTTGGGCTCTCTCTCTCTCTCTCTCTCTACATATATATATAATTATTTTCGCTTAGCCTTCGTTGCAAAGGGGAAAGCTCTCCCCCCCCCCCCCAAAACCAAATAAAAGCGAAAGGCAGCGGGCGCCCTGCGGCAGCGGCTGCGCCATACGCGAGTGCGGGGCTCCCCACCGCGGCCGCGGAACCGCTGCGCCCCCCCAACCCCCAGCAGCGGGCGGGGCGGCTCCGCTCCTCTCTCGCATCTCCGCCCTCCCGGAGCGCCGATGCCCCACGTTCTCCCGGCGCAGATTGGCACAAGGTGCTGCTGCTCCCTGACATCTCCCTGAACTCATTGTGATTTAAATAACGGCCCTTTCTCATCTAAACAAAGCATCTTAATAGCAGATGCAAAGAATTCAGCTCATCTGAAAATCCAATAGCATTTAAGTGGATTAACTGCAATAACACAACTGAGGAGTGATACTATCCTTCATGGAAGACAATAGACTGTAAATGCACAGCCAGGGAGACTTATCCTTTCATCTCTGAATTTCCTTCAGCATTTCAAAAGCGAATGCTTTCTAGAAGCCCTGGAGGGCTCTGCGCGCTGCTGCTTGGACATGCTTCTAGGAAACAACCTGTGCTTTAATGGGCACTTTGCAATTGCATAGAAGTTCCCACCAAAACAGAAGTGGCCTTTCAAGTACGTTTAATTCTCCCTCGTGATGTCATGTAGGCTTACAGGGTGGTCTGCAGGACCACAACGGGGGAAAGAAGAAGGTGGGGGTTGGAAAGGGAAAGAGATGCAAAAGATTTGGAAGCACTTGAGAAAGGAGAATGTTAAGAGAATGTTGAGAAAGGAGAATGTTGTTTTCTTTATTTTTCTTTCTTTCCTTTTTTTTTTTTTTTTTTTTTAAAAAAAAAAAAAAAGGAAAACGCCGAGCCAGTGTGGAGCCATTCTCAAATGCCTTCTGATAACTAAAATGAGGAGCTCGGGGTGCCCCAGCCGGGCGCTGCGGGACACTGCGGGGCTCCCCCACCTCCTGCACGGGGTCAGAACCGCAGAGCAAAAAGCGGTTTTGGCGGCTTTGGCTAAAAAAAAAAAAAAAAAAAAAAAAAAAAAAAGGAATGTCTGCTCTGCACTTATCAGTTCTTTGGGTTAAAGCGACAGCTCTTACGGTCTGTGATGTCATAAAAGCAACAATAACCAAACAGGGAAATTGAGTCTGGCACCGAGCATTTGTGTGCTCCTCTCTTTCCTTCTTCCACTGGGCAGCGTGCCTGGGGCCAGCAGTGCTGGAGCCCTCTCCGGTGGTACTCCTCTATGAAAGCCATAGAAATAACTCTTACCGTGTTTGTTGTTCAAAAATCGATGCAGTTTTGGTTTTTCCTGCTGTTTCCTCTCTTGATGAGAAGCTCACTGCGGCTCTTCTGAATCTGTCATTGCGGAGCTCAGATAAGCATCTCTCCTCCGGGTCCAGTTACACTCAGAGTAGCTTTTAACATCAAGCCGTTCATATGGATTGTTGCAAATATTTGATAATGATGCAAGATATGTAGGATCCCAAAGGACCAAGGAGCAGGGAACACAAATGGAATTCACACGGGATCTGCAGGCGGATTTATATTTGGGCTGTCTGTCTGGTTATGAAACACATCACCTCCTTCCCTTTTGTTTCGGAGACAAGTGCAAACTTTGTGCCATGGAAGTCCAAATCCTCACAGGAGTGCAAAAACCTCACAAAAGCTGATCCTGACTTCTGTGTGGCACCTTCCTGCAGTCAGCCAGGCTATGGAACACGTGTGCACCAAACATGAAGGTTCCTTTTTTGCGTGATACCTGTAACCACGGCGTGGTATTTATAGGCTGAAAAGAAAATCCATACAAAGACCAGAGCATCAGAAAATCATGTTTTGCACTTCTTTATTTGTCTGGAAACGGCAAGCAAGATGTCTCATTTGTCTCATTTGAAGCATACGCTGCTAGAAGCCCCTTCAATGTCAGGAATTATAATGGAATTACACCATGACAGAGTGCTGAGGGAGGATTTCCAGGGTTTGCACAGCGCGTGGTTTGGGGGAAGGAATGCGGTGCTCCCTGACACAAAATGCAGCTCCATCAGCAGCACCCGTGTGTTCTGCGAGCGGTGACGCACGAGGGCAGGGTGCCCCACACTGGGCTCCCAGCACCGCATGCTGAGCTCTGTTCAGTCCATGCAGGCTTTTAGAGACACGAGGAGCTCCAGCTGTGTGGGACCAACCGGTGTCTCAGAGCAAGGAGCAGCAGCTGTGAGCACAGGCAGGTGGGCAGCCAGGGCACAGCCGTGGCAGGGAGAGACGTTCCCATTTCCGCAGCGTTTGGGTTGAGGGTTGGGTTGGTTGGGAGGAGCAACCTGTCTTAGTGCAGAGGCTGCGTGGGGCTCGGTGTGCTCTGGGGTTTTATCCTGCCATGGCTGCTGACGATGGACTGAGAGCCACGAGTGTGTTGGCTCTGGAAAGAGACCACAAGAAATGCCCTCCGCGGTTGAGCCCCACACCACATCAGTGCCTCGCAGGACAAGGGGGTATAAGTTCAGCCCGTAATCCCAGGAAGCTCACCCACTTTGGATGGTTTCTCTCTGCTTTTGACCATTTTGTTGGCCTGAGTTCAGAGGGGCATGTGCCACGGGAAGGTTTTCTTCCCTCCTCTCAGTTGCCACCTGCCTTCAGGAACAGAGCTGTCACAGGTGCAGTGCGGAACAGGCGGCAGTTTGCAAAGCAGAGTGCTGACAGCAGGCAGAGCACTTCTGTCCTGCCACCTGGCCCAGGAACAGCAACAGGAAAGCTGTAAGGAGAGCAAGCAGGAGAGCTGCTGTTCCAGCACCACAAAGATTGTTTCCTCCTTTTCCAGCTCTTCCTTTTGGATCCTTATGCCAGCTCCGTCTCTCTGGCCAGGCTTTGTTTTCTTTGAAGCTTTTCTTGGTGTGACTTTCCAGATGCTTTCGTGGTTGATAGTTTTCTTAAATAGATGTGAGATGCAAATCTGCTCCAAGCTTTCAGCTAAGCAGGGTGGTGAGAAGGGACTCAGAAAGATTTTACAGTGTCCCTGCCGGTGAGGAGAGAGATGCCCATGGCCTGTGCCACCTGTGCACCTTGACATTTGATGCTCCAGTATTTTTGGAGAGTGTTTGGTGTCCTGTGAATGGGGCAGGGTCCAATAAAGCTGTTGCACTTGTCCCACGTTGACTTCAGCAGGGATAGACCCAGCTCTCCCTGGAGAAATGCCCAGGTTTTGTAGCAAAGGCAGTCAGTAACACTCTGATGCACACACCCCCTGCCCTTCCTGCCGAGCTGTTCAGTGCTGAGTGACATGAGCTTCACCTTCAAGGCTGAGTGGGACCAGCAGCCCTGCCAGCCTGGGTAGCAAGATACCATGTTTAGGCATTGAGCAAGGGCTCCTGCATACCAGCACAGCCCGCTATTTTGGTGGGTTAGATGCAGTTGTTCCCCACTCCCCACCCCAGTGAGGCGGTGGAGTTGCTGCAAGTCGCAGATGTCTTCTGCCTGGTGGTTAGAGCTATTAAAAATGGGCTGTGCTTTGTCAGTGATGCTAGTCCACCCAGCTCAATAAGTGTAACAGTACCAGTGCAGCTTAGGGTATCCCGCACTGAAATGTGTTGTAAATGCCAGAAATATGCTGTGGGCTCAATCTCCAGAGCCCCGTGCATGGTGTACATTTATCCTCAGCAATGTGGGTGTAAAACCCTTCTCTTCTGACTCAAATCAAAGCCAGTCGCAGGATTCTGTGGAGACCATCCAGGATGTAACTCAGCCATGCTAACTACCATAAAATTGTGATATTATTCTTCATTGTTTGTAGCTTGGAAGCCTGCAGAGGCCTAGCTTGGAGCAGTCCATTTTATTAAGCTCCATCCAAACACCATCCAAACACAGTGAGATAGCTGTTCCTCCCAAGAATTCAAATTCTCAAAGTGCAGGCCGCTCCGTTTGTGTTCTGGTATCCATGCAACCTTGTTGCTTCTACAACATTACACATTTGTCCTGTGAGGTTCCCTCCCTTACAATAAAAACTCACAGGAGTGATGCACGCGTTCTCAGCCCTGCGCACA